TAGAATAGGTCCCCAGCAGCCTATGCTTGTCTCCCCATGGGAAACTGGGTTAGAATAGGTCCCCAGCAACCTATGCTTGTCTCCCAGTGGGGATTCTGGGTTAGAATAGGTCCCCAGCAGCCTATGCTTGTCTCCCCATGGGAAACTGGGTTAGAATAGGTCCCCAGCAACCTATGCTTGTCTCCCCATGGGAATCTGGGTTAGAATAGGTCCCCAGCAGCCTATGCTTGTCTCCCCATGGGAAACTGGGTTAGAATAGGTCCCCAGCAGCCTATGCTTGTCTCCCAGTGGGGATTCTGGGTTAGAATAGGTCCCCAGCAGCCTATGCTTGTCTCCCCATGGGGAATCTGGGTTAAAATAGGTCCCCAACAGCATAATTAGTTCTCCCCATAGGGATTCACGGTTAGAATAGGTCAGCCTATACTGGTCGTCAGAGGTGATAGAAACTAATGGATTGGTGGTCAGGCTCGGTGACTTGATTGATGGCGTGACATCGTACCCCGACGGCGTGGACTGTTGCTCATACTATCTATCACTGGATTGTTCAGAGTGTCCTAACTCCTGAATTTCTCCGAATAAGATCTTCCGTCAATAAACTCCATACCTGTGTTCGTGGGTTTTATCATCATTATCTATTGGCGTTTCTTCCACATTAAGTTGACGCAATATTGTTCAAAGCGACGTTAACCCCACATCAGTCACATGTTTGTTTCTTTGTTTGTTTGTTTAACGCCGCACTCAGCAATATTCCAGCTATATGACGGCGGTCTGTAAATAATCGAGTCTGGACCATACAATCCAGTGATTTACATCATGAGAACATCGATCCCCGCAATTGGGATCGATGACATGCATCAACCAAGTCAGCGAGACTGACCACCCGATCCCGTTAGTCGCCTTTTATGGCAAGCATGGGGTGCTGAAGACCTATTCTACCCCGGATCTTCACGGGTCTAGTCATATGTTGTAGGTGATGATGTCACTGGAAGGAAGCAATCGATCTATACACAAAGGCCGGAAGACCTAAAGTAACACGTGACCGTAATTACATCACAGAATAATTCCCCTGATGCACAGAACTGCCACTGAAGGAGACAACATACGCCCAAAACGCAGGGAAATTTAGCATCTAGGATTAAGCAGTGCTTGGAATGAACGCTCGATGAATACCCCTGAGGCGAGCAGATATTTCGTTTATTGTAGCTCATTTCTTTCAAACCTCCTTTAATATTTAGCAATGCAAAGTAATATTGGTTTTTAATACCCGACAACACGTCACCGTAGCACGTCGGGCGCCTTCCGGTCTGAAGCTTGATGCTCGAGTGCGGAGCTAAATTTATTAGAAATATGAAATTAAAGAAAGGTCAGAAATAATTTCATAATTAACCACACTGAGTTGATCACAGTGTCCATCCATCCCACTTACAGTTGACCATATGACCCAACTATTATTGTAGTAACACAATCGACGATAATAAAAGCAATCAATCTTTCCAGGACTGCTTTGATGACAGATGTCTGCCAGGGAGGCAAATCTGTAACGATGTACTCTTGCTTTTTTGGGGTGTCCATTATGGAAATATCTCTATAGGATGGATGTCTGTCAAAAGTGAATGAGGAATAATAATCATTTCTGCATAAATTCATAAATGGTATATTGTGCTCTGAAAAGCAAGAGACGGACTTGTCTTGGCAGAGACCCAAAGCCTATGTTTAATATTGGTTTAACAGCTTGAGTTCATTTATGACATCTGAAGTGTATGTTCATCTCAATATGAGACTCTGCAAATATGATCATCAATTATGCGACGCAATAATAATTGTGCCATGTCAAACAAGTTACAAGTTGTAAAGGTCAAAATAATATAAACTCATGCGTGGAGATTCCATCCCGTTGATACCGTGAGGATTCAGGTTTGAAAAGGTCTTCTGCAACCCATCCTTGTCGTAAAAGGCGACTATGCTTGTCGTAAGTGGCGACTAAAAGGCGACTATGCTTGTAAAAAGCGACTAAAGGGATCGGGTGGTCAGTCTCGCTGACTTGTTTGATGCATGTCATCGATCCCAATTGCGTGGATCGATTCTCATGATATGTCACTGGGTTGTCTGGTCCAGACTCGATTATTTCAAGACAGTCGTAATAAAGTTGGAATACTGCTGAGTGCGGCGTTAAACAACAAACAAAATCCATCGTGTTGATATATATACACATGAGCATTAAATATGCACCAGCCACTTCTTCGGATGTGTACAACATTATGACTGGTGTGATTCACTGTTGGAGTGAGTGAGTGAGTGTGGTTTTACGCCCCTTTTAGCAATATTCCAGCAACATCACGGCGGGGGACACCAGAAATGGGCTTCACACATTGTACCCATGTCGGGAATCGAACCCGGGGCTTCAGCGTGACGAGCGAACGCTTTAACCACTAGGCTACCCGACCGCCCCTCACTGTTGGAAATAGGACAAAAGAGTAGTCAGCTGACAAACAGAACACCTGACACTACCAACGCACACATAACAAATAAAGAAGCTGGTATGAGCAATCGGTACCGATTTATTGGCCTTGTGAGAAGACATTTCAACGACAGCCCACACCATGTATCGCACACATCATGCAGCGAAAAACGATTATTGTCTGGTGAGGTGAGGTGAGGTGAGGTGAGGTGAAAAAGGGTTTAACGTCGCGTCCAAGATTATTGCACTTATATTGCGACGTGCATGCATGTGTGTGTGTGGCTGCTTATACTAGTCCGGACTGATGCCGATTTATAGTGCTAGCTCACTGAGATATCATGCCGCAGTTTAACATGAATACCCAACTCAGACACAGTATACTGACTCCGAGCCGTAAGTCCTTGTTTTGGTCCGTTAATGCCGAGCGCCAGACAGGGTAACAACAAGTACCATCTTTTAACGTCTATTGGTATGACGCGGCCGGCGATCGAACCCCGAACCTTCCGCTCTCCGGGCGGACGCTGTACCACTAGACCACGGAGGGGTCTTATTGTTAGGTAGTGATGGGGTCTGGTCAGGGAAAACCAGTGACTGGGTTGACTGTCTGTTGCAGGAAGCTGATGATGTACACGAGCAAATAGCCATGTGAGTGAGTGGATTCACGCCGCTTTTAGCAATATTCCAGCAATATCACATTCAAGCAATATCACGGCGGGGACAACAGTAATGGGCTTCACACACTGTACCCATGTGGGGCATAGAATCGTGGTCTTCCGCATGAAGAGCGAACGCTTTTACCACCAGGCTACACCACGTCCCCTCAAATGTCCATGTCATTGGGTACTATCACCAAAAGCAGCCAAGTCACAGAGTCTGACTATCCGATCTCCATTTTAGTAGATCCTTACCACAACCGCATTCTAGGGGTCTCCATACCCTTGAACTGAGGATGAAGGGCAAACACTTTTACATCTACCTATGTCTTTTCATCTAAATTGACAAGTGACTTATTTTGTAGAACATTAACTTCACAACAGCTTATTGTTTTCAAAATGAGTGTCTGTCAACAAGTGGCTGCTTTTGCCGATATGTTTTGATCTTGAACAATAACATGATGATCTACAGCATCCTAGCAGTGTTACTAAATATTCATGTTTCCCTGTGCTGACAATTTGCCACAGTAAACTTTTAAAAACTGTTGATTTACCGCTGCAACACGCAGTCACAAGTGTGCCCTACACAGACCGTTCATTAACAGGCCGCTGCAACACAGTCACAGGTGTGCCCTACACAGACCGTTCATTCACAGACCGCAACAACACAGTCACAGGTGTGCCCTACACAGACAGTTCATTAACAGACCGCAACAACACAGTCACAGGTGTGCCCTACACAGACCGTTCATTAACAGACCGCAACAACACAGTCACAGGTGTGCCCTACACAGACCGTTCATTCACAGACCGCAACAACACAGTCACAGGTGTGCCCTACACAGACAGTTCATTAACAGACCGCTGCAACAGTCACAGGTGTGCCCTACACAGACCGTTCATTCACAGATCGCTGCAACACAGTCACAGGTGTGCCCTACACAGACAGTTCATTCACAGACCGCTGCATCAGTTAACACAGTCACAGGTGTGCCCTACACAGACCGTTCATTAACAGACCGCTGCATCACAGTCAACAGTCACAGGTGTGCCCTACACAGACCGTTCATGAACAGACCGCTGCAACACAGTCAACACAGTCACAGGTGTGCCCTACACAGACCGTTCATTCACAGACCGCTGCAACACAGTCACAGGTGTGCCCTACACAGACCGTTCATTCACAGACCGCAACAACACAGTCATAGGTGTGCCCTACACAGACCGTTCATTCACAGACCGCTGCAACACAGTCACAGGTGTGCCCTACACAGACCGTTCATTCACAGACCGCAACAACACACTCAACGCAGTCACTGGTTTGTCCTATCAAGGCCATTCATTAACAGACCACAACAGTCACTGGTTTGCCCTACACAGATCGTTCATTAACAGGCCACAACAACACTCTCAACACAGTCACTGGTTTGCCCTACACAGATCGTTCATTAACAGGCCACAACAACACTTTCAACAGTCACTGGTTTGTCCTGCCAAGACTGTTCACTAACAGGCCACAACAACACACAATCAACACACACACACACAAGGGTGTTGGGGACCGGTCCGGAGTGCATGATATGGACATGATATTTACATGTCATGTTATAGGATTTGGGGGGCATTGACCTTGACTTTTGGTAAGGTCTGTCCGAGCAAGTTGAATTCAAGTCAAACGTCACTTTTGTCAATTTTATTAGCAGTCAATAATATCCAGCAGCACTGTGATGAAAACAATTTACATCTATTCCATAATTCCAACCAATGTCACATCCCCAGGGATATTTAAGTGTGAAGGAGTCCCATAATGACAAGTATAGATTGTAGTTAAGAAAAATTAGCCTGCTCAAATGGGAATAAAGACCTAAAAATACAACAGACAAAAGAAGCTCATTCAATCATGATGTTTAATGAGACATTTGTACAAGTGAGATAAGAGTTTTCCAATGGCATTTACATGATAAGAACGTGGCGAACAATGACCTCGACCTTGACCTTCTGACCCTGATGGTCCAAAAGATCAAACAACACATACATCCTTAGCAATGTATAATTTTACCGAATTCTCATATAATCATCGATAGCCACCCTAAATTTCTCAGCTAGAATCTGAACACAATGACCAATACATCTGGTAAAAAATCCGTTTTCATTGAAGACCCCGGTTCATCATGAAACATGTCTAAAATCAACATGATCCGAGGGCTAAGTAATGAAATAATCCCATTAAAAAGCATGATGTTTGATAAAGCAGTTCAGTAGAGGAATACTTGCATACCTTAAAATTGTGCGGTATCCATTATTTCAATTATAAAGGTCTAAGTATAAAAAAGGTCCACCCATCCCTGTAACCAATTCAAACACAGTTATACCTCATATTTATACCTAACCCCTTCAATGAAATCAGATTTTCATGAAAAGTCCCTAACCCCTCCCATACAATAACCCACCCAAACCCACAACCTACACCAGCAAATTGTGTGTATGTTTTCTTCCTGGCCATGCTTCCTTTGCATATTTCTTCTTCTTGGGTTCTTTTGAGGGTTCCTCTGGTGTGAATCCTACGACTGGTGCTGCAGTGACCTGTGGTGCTGCTGTGTCATGATCTATGTCTGGCGCCAGGTTGGGAACTGGAAGCCCTAGTTTTGTGGCAATACTGTAGGTACTACTGAGAGTTGAGCCTGCTGCATTGCCACCCACTGCAGGGAGGTCACCGTACAGATTTGTACCATAGGAAAAGTTCTGAAGTCTCTTTGTGATATTTTCTGTCATGCTGCCTGATGGCTGTACACTTCCATCTAATTTGGCTCTCTGAAAAACATTGTTGGAGCTTTAATGATGTCTGCTAGTCTGTGTTCACAGTATTTAATACAGCTCCAGATAAGCTTGCTATTTGTGTAAAATATGCAAATTAAATCACCATTACCCAATTAATTTTGAGTTGCTTGCATACATTTGCTCGTAAAATTTGAAAAATATAAAAATGTATAACACTTTGCGAAAGTACCAAATAGTCTTTCAGCTTGCCTACCTGTGTTTCTTTACTGATATTGTTTTACTCATCAAATGTAGGCATCATATATACTGTTACTCTACTGCAGTGAATAATGCACAAAAGTTCTAAGTCTGATTTACTGTCTGATAACTTTAGTTCCTATTGTGAGCTTGCCGAGAGCAGGAATTGAGTGGTATAGAACCTAACATGGGATGCATAAAACGACATACACCTCCAGTGATACTGCTACAACTTATAATGTAAACGTTACACTCAACACATTTAGCGGGATGAAGAGGAAGCCGGCTTCAACACTACCCCCCTACTAAAGAGCAATGAAGAGGAAGACAAGCATGCAACAGCTCGTCAGCAGTGGCAATGTTCAGAAATACGTCAGCAGCAGGGTTCATGATATAAGTCAGCAATATCAAAACATTTGTACAGAAATGGCAAACCAAGAGTCAACAGTGTCATCAGAAATCCCAGGGGGACACCAGCACCCTCCAGTCTACTCTCCTGACAAGCACAGAGCACTGTGAGTGTGGAGCCCTACCCTCTACCCACTGGGTGACCTACCTTCCTAGGGGGACACCAGCACCCTCCAGTCTACTCTCCTGACAAGCACAGAGCACTGAGTGTGGAGCCCTACCCTCTACCCACTGGGTGACCTACCTTCCCAGGGGGACACCAGCACCCACCAGTCTACCCTCCTGACAAGCACGGAGCAATGTGAATGTGGAGCCCTGCCCTCTACCCACTGGGTGACCTACCTTCCCAGGGGGACACCAGCACCCTCCAGTCTACTCTCCTGACAAGCACGGAGCAATGTGAATGTGGAGCCCTGCCCTCTACCCACTGGGTGACCTACCTTCCCAGGGGGACACCAGCACCCTCCAGTCTACTCTCCTGACAAGCACGGAGCACTGTAAATGTGGAGCCCTGCCCTCTACCCACTGGGTGACCTACCTTCGTTGGGATGATGGTTGTTTGTACAAGGTTGCGGAAGCGACCGACTGAAGGATCGATGTCCTCTGTAAGACAACATAGATAAGTCAGTTGTAGAACTGTGAAATATAAAGAGGATATCAACACGCTGGACGACCTGCTATGTTCATACATTTTAACTATGGAATTGCATCCTCATTTATCCAGAGTATCATAACTCCATTCTGTGGCAATAAATACCCACTCGCCATCATATACTAATCAACATTTGCTTAGGTCCAAAATAGTCATCTTTAGTCAAGCATGTTGAGTAGTTAAGTTCACTTAGGCTTCAACAACACAATGCAAGAAAGAGTGAGTTGGGCTTAACACCGCTTTTAACATTATTCCAGTTACATCACGGCGTGTCAGCTTAATGTGGGAGAAAAGCCCGAAGTGTTGCAGCTCTCAGACATTTACCAGGTACCACTTCATTGAAACCCACGAGCATGGGTATGGTGCTGACACACTTAGAAACATAATCGGGGCAAACCGGGATTCGAACCAACAATCATAGGTTTCTTGCCAGAGCCCTTAGACGACTGGGCCACCCGTGCCAGTCATGTAATGGACACACTGGGATGCAGAAAATTTGCATGCATGAGAACTGCTATTTGGTTTTACTTAATGCTTCGATTGCTTCATGGCCTTGGCTAGCACTTGGCGAACTGTTTACTTGGGAATCTATTTTTCACTGAAGTGCAGTCTTATGTAACTTGTGGTTGAGTACTGTATTCAATTCTTGACATTTTTCTGAGAAACCTATATTGTAGCTTGGGAGTTGGGACCCCCATTTGTAACCTGGGACCCCAACAATTAAGGCTGTGAGTCCCTGGACCCCCAAATAAATAACCCACGTGAATCACTGACTTACCCTGATCTTTCATGATTGAAACAAGTGTCACCATCACCATGTTTGCATACTGAGTTAAGCTTATAGGGGAGAAAAGTCTATAATAAGTTGGAGACAGTAGCCTCACTTCCAAAACAAAAAACGGCAAATGGATGCAGGGTATTTATCAAAATAAAATGGAGATACAATACACTGGAAAAACAAAGAATGACTTCTCTGATGCTTATCAATAATATCTACTGCGGAAGTGAATTATTCTTAAATCAATTACAGAAATTACAGAAATTACATATCAGGCCCTAGTTAATCTCCTCCTTGGGCAAGTGAAAACACCTTATGTATAAAAGTTTGAACTAGTGACAGTTACATGTCACTCCTCTTTTTCTCGCTCAATTTAAGGAAATTGATCTGACGTGCACAAGGCGCATTTTGACATGAAAACCAAGTTGCACGAAACAAAACAAGGTGGTATCCTGGGCCCACAAATATATCAATATAGGCCGGCCTGCTGCCAGTGTCACATAAATAAAGGATGCATTGCTGGAAAACGAATAGGAACATCTGAATATAATCTTGAAGCACCCACAGTTTGATTACATCACGCCTAAGAAAGCTTGACAAACTACATATAACTCAGGGAACAGTAATGCAGTATGGTAAATAAACTTTAGAGGTATTGAGTGTGTCCAAAGATCGATTTTGTGTGGACAAGTAAGGATTGATCCTTTCAAATGATATTTATTGATATGCACTTGGTGCATGTAGACATAAATATTATGTTTCATTTTTCAATAATAAGTTGCACTTGTGCATGTTTCAATGCTAACTCAAGCCTTGTGTTGAGGAGATAATGTAGCCATGAGAAAATGTAGAACCTGTTTATAAGCTACATCTTGGCATCATAACATAACTCTGGAAATCCTAATGCAAGGAAAACTTTTAAATAAATTCTGTAGTCTCTTTCACTGGCTTTCAGATTGACCTTGAATTCTTGTAATGCCTGACACTTGTTAAATTTTCATACCAAGCAGAGTTGTGTCCCTTTGTACAGAATTTCTGCAATATTATTTTCAGTCATGACACACAACCATGTTTTATTCACATGGTAAACAATGTCTCAATATAATTTCATCTCCACATGAGTTCATATTAACCATGAGCATGCACCGTGCATAATCAGCATAATTATACATTCAGAAACAGGCCCATCCAGTATTCCTGTAACCATGGCAACAGTGGACAAAAACAATTAAGAATCGTAAAAGCATGAAGCTGGATGCTGCACACTCAATATTCAACTGCTTCTGCAAAACCAAACATTCATGAGCATCATATGAATAATAACAAGAGTAACAATGGAAACGGATGTAATGTTGACATATTTAACTTACCTGGATTGATGACCTCTTCCTCATCATTAAACACAACATGACTTGACTTGTGTTTCCGCTTCAGAGGATTGGGGACATCTGCAACTTCCACTAAAGATGCTATGCGACGATTGTGAGCTGTGTTGAATTCTGTGAGATTCTGTGGAGAAACAATCTGTGACTTAGCGTTTGGTCCCTACACATAAAGAAATGATTGTAACAACACGGTCTACTTTACTGTCAAGTTAATATTCTGCAACGCTTAACATTGTGCTAGATCCCGCACAAAATACAACCTTCAAGTTATTGTATTCCAAAGTCAATCATTTAATGTCTTTGCTGACACTTGGGCACTATTTTGGTGTTTCTTCAAGTACCATTATCAAACATGGGAGACATTGAATAGGCAATATCAGTTATTAGCAGAGTGTGTATGTATTAAATGATGGCAATTTACACACACTCAACACACAGACACTTGTGATCATTCTGAATGAGTTCTTCCACCAGCTTGTCAGCATCTATCGGAGGTATCTTTGCCATTTATCAAAATGAGATCAATGTCACATGCAGCGATTAAAGTTCACGCAAGTCCACTAGCCTGAGAATAGTAAATTATAGCCGAGGACAAGGAGTGAGTGAGTGAGTATAGTTTGACTCCACTATTAGCAATATTCCAGCAATATCACGGCGGGGGACAAACAGCATGAAGAGAAAAAGCTTTAACCACAAGGTTACCCCACCGCCCCTGAAGACAAGTATCTCCAAAGATGGTTGTCCTGATTGACTAGTAGCATTGGTGGCTATTACTCTGAACCAGTGTCCAATGCTTCAATATTGATAAAAATGGGAACTGAATAAAACTTTCAGAAAATGTAAACATAGTAAACATTTTTGTCTCGTTCAAGCAGGACTAGGTACCGACTCTGGGGACTAGTCAAAAGTTTTACACTAGTCCTCTTGACTTGTCTGAAATCCACCCACCCACCCACCCTGACACTCTAAGGCTGCATGTAGATATTTCCAAAACATACATGGAAGTTGGTGAAATATGGAAATAAAGATATGGTCGAGCTTAGCTTTTTCGAGGTTTACATATGGTTTGCCATACAGTTTCTCACGTGATTTACAGTGACTCATCAGAAGGCATGGCAAAATTTCAACCTCGGCCAATCAGATTACTGTTATTTTCATAATTATTCAGAACTATTGCAAAGACCTCAAACATGAGGACCAAATTTGTACTTTCTGGACAAGTTAAGAAATATAAAATATTTTCAGGCCTTTATTCTGATTCTCATTTCTTTCACGAAGTCTAATAATATTGTGTGATGAGGAGTGAGTTAGTGTGACAGTATTCCAGTTATATCACGGCATGTCAGCTTAATGCGGGAGGAAAGCCCGAAGTGATGCAGGTCTCAGACGTTTACCACTTCGGTGAAACCCACGAGCACGGGTATGGTGCTGACAAACCTACAAACATAATCGCTGCAAAGCAGAGAAACAAAATTTTAAAAAGCAGCTGAATATTAGACATGGTAATTGTTTGATCCCACTTGGGTTTTAATTCACACTTGTCTGCAAACACAAGTCAGTTTCAATATTGATAAAAGTATCCCAAAGGCTGGCAGAATTTTGAAGTTTTTTTGAGGTTCTGAAAATTATCACTGTTGGGTTAGTTGACATTTTGTGTTAATTTCTGTCACTGATTAGTAGTTGTAAACTAAAGCCACTGGACAATGTTTGCACTACCATAAATTTTAGAGAACATTGTTCCTGAAAAAAAAAGCCCTTTCAGCTGCATGATATAGATGTGATAGTTGTGTACTAACATCAAGCTCTGTTTCTGATTCTGGTAAACCTAATAAGCTGCCTTCGTGATCTTCTATCCGTTTGCCATCTTTGTCTTCGTGTGGTTGGTTTGAGATGCCCTGTGGACGTTCGCGTATGATATAGATTCTTGTTGAAGCACCAAAATGAATCTCACTGTCGATTGGGACCTGCTGAGGTTTCCGTTTTTCAAGTCGTATCTGACCGATGTACGTCCCATGAGCTGCAACAGAATAGTATTGTTTTCTTTTATAAATATCTCATTAGTGATGCAAGAAAAAACATTGTTGAAACTTACACTCAACATGTGTAACTAGACCTTTCAGTCACTACCACAAAAACTCCATTATCCTGGTACAACTAAGGAATGCAACTCTGCATAGCCAATTGTGACCTTAAACAACTGGGCTTCCTATGTCCTCTTGTACATTCCGTTTGACTCCAAATGAGAACGATGAATTGCAAAATAACTCGAAATCCAGAAAAGTGTATGAAACATCAATACGGTACTTGACCATGAATACCCTGTACCCAACAAAATCTGAATTTTGTTTATTTTAAGACCCATGACGGATTAAGTTCTTTAAGAAACTATCATGTAATTTTGTATAGAAATGTGTACATGACACGTAGGGGGACAAACCGTGGAAGGAACAGCGCAAGCACGGTCTGCACGTGCTACACAGTGACCGTGTTCATTCAATGACAAGATGCGCTACTCAGCAGATGTTATACAGTTGATGTTGAATGTGTATGATTTCTTTAGAAGTGAAGCAGAAAGAGCAAAGCTTTTTTTATGCAATTAATAAATTCTTGAAATAAGCTTCAAAAGCTCTTGGTATGTCCCCTCAGAAACCCAAAAATGTTGTTAGTCGACGAGATACAAATAGTCAGGCCAAGGAGGTAGGGAACATGTCAAAACCACGCAAGGTTGATAAATTAGACAGTTTGCAGAGGGATCAAGTCAGATGTGCAATTGTTAAACTGCACTCAGGAAATAAGTACCTGTCCCTAAGAATTTTGAAGAAACACCTTAAAACTGACCATGATTTACGTGTTACAAAGTACAAACTATGGCAGCTGTTGCATACATTTGGTTACAAATACAAAAAGATAACTGGAGAAAATAGGGCTGTGTTGTGTTAACGGTCTGACATTGTTCGTCTCCGAAATCATTACCTTTATACCATCAAGCAAAAACGTGAAGAAGGATATGAGCCCGTCTTCTTAGATGAGACATGGGTAAATGCGTCACACACGGCCAGCAGTCAGTGGGTACCCAGTGGTGACTGTAAGGAGTCTGGTAGAAAGTTACCAATGGGAAAGGGTGAAAGACTCATAGTTCTCCATGCTGGTTCTGCTAGTCAGGGTTTTCTCCCAGACTGTGACCTCGTCTTTAGAGCCAAGGCCAAAGACAACAGGGACTACCACACAGAAATGAACGGCAATGTATTTCTTGAGTGGGTGAAAGATAAATTAGTCCCTGCTTTGCCTACCAAGTCTCTCATTGTCATGGACAATGCACCGTATCATAGTGTGCAGGATCCAGAAAGCAAGACTCCAACCTCTAATAACCGTAAAGGAGACATGGTTACTTGGCTGCAACGGAGGAACATTAACTTTCCTTCTCGAGCGACAAAACCACAGCTCTATGAAATCATCAAAACTATGAAACCTGACCCCTTGTATAAAGTTGACAGTTACATCAAGGGTCAGGGTCACGCTGTCTTACGACTGCCACCTTATCACTGCGACCTAAATCCAATCGAGTTGGTATGGGGCATCGTCAAGGGTGACGTTGGACGATCGAACACAACGTTCAAATTACGAGACGTTGAACAACTCGTAAAGGAATCCCTTGGGCGGGTACCAGTAGAAACATGGAGGCGTTGTGTGGCCACAGTCGTTGACGAGATAGAGCCATGTTATTGGTCACGAGATGGACTACGGCCAGCAACAGTCCAACCTATAATAGTGGCAGTCGGTTCAGGCACCAGCAGTTCCGACGACGAGATCTATGGCATGAGCGAGTCAGATTGCGACTGAAATTATCATGAGACGGCCCCTCTAACACTCTGTCATTTCCCCTACCACAGAACGTGCAGTGCATGCGTGCTTGCGCTGTGCCTTCCACGGTTTGCCCCCCTACGTGTCATGTACACATTTCTATACAAAATTACATGATAGTTTCTTAAAGAACTTCATCCGTCATGGGTCTTAAAATAAACAAAATTCAGATTTTGTTGGGTACAGGGTATTCATGGTCAAGAACTGTATTGATGTTTCATACACTTTCCTGGATTTCGAGTTATTTTGCAATTCATCGTTCTCATTTGGAGTCAAACGGACTGTAGCTATGATAGGTCAGGGGAAGAAATTAAGTGGAGTCCCATAACGCATGTCAAATTTTCAAGGGGTTTGGTCACACCGGGAGTATTTTATTCTGCAAACCCATAAATCTTCAAGATGTCATGCATTCGGAACACACCAAAAGAGAGGAGAAACATTTATCATACATCAATGTCCAAATGATGAGATCTGATTGGTTCATGGGATCTTGATAAAATAATATTTATTCCGCCTTGGAGGGAAATAAATTTTTGAGCTGGAGAATAAATCCCTTATACCCCGCCAAGAACAAGACAGGTTGCACATGGATTTCTGAGAGGCAAAATAAATACCTTATACCCTGCTTCAAAGCAAAGAGTCGCACTCTTTTTCCAAGTCAATAAAGTCAAGTGAAATAGCAAAAGTTAGCCTCAGCTCAATTAAACAGTTGTTATTTATAAACTTTGAATTTGTCCTAATTCTTTTACAATGACAGATTAAAACATGTCGTAAGATATATTTGTTGTAGCAGTGTCACTCGGGGTACAAGTTGTTTTATGCATCCCGCGTTAGGATTTATACCACGAGCGGGCGGCAAGTGCTACAGCAATACTGCTACAACTTATAATATCTCAGATTTCTAGGATAAGTAACTCTTCAACACACTGCTAAAACTAAGAGTTACTAAACTGTTTATCATAATAATAAACTTACTGCTTCCAAGATCCATAATAAATGGTCTGGAAAGATGTTTGTGCCACACAAGAGCTGCATGAACTCGAGAACAGGAGGCGTGATCAATACAAAAGTCACACAACTGCTTGTTACGTCCAAAGAAATAACACTTCTTCTCATCTACCATTAATTTCTGAAACACAAAGGATAAATGCAAATCATCCATACAATATCATCTCAAGCCATATGCTGGACATTTCATGACATTTACATGATACATGCATAGAATTAAGTTTGTTTTGCAAAACAACTTTTTAAATGGAAAAACACTTTTTCAGAAAATTTTCAAAAATGACATGTCTGCATCTTCCTCAAACATTTTGGGTCACATAATTATGTTAATTCCAATGTAGCTTCATTGGTTGAGAATTTTGGACATTGGACTGAGTGTCTTTTGGGAGAAGGTGTTTTTGAAGGGGGTTAACTTGACAATATACACATGAATTCAAATAAAACTAAAACAAATTTGTTTGTTCTTCATCATTGTGGGTCCATTATAATTTAATCAAGATAATGTTATTTTCAAAAGGTGAGGAGACGGTTCGATCCCCCATAAATCCTACCTGAATCCACCACTGAAAGAAAAATCAACTGGGTCCACATTACCTGAATCATTTTACCATCTTTTGTGACATCCAGATGTAACCCTGGCTGAGGTTTCCCTGCCCTGAAAAACAAAACTAGAGTCAACAATCTTGAACTACTCAAGTCAATTGTCATCTTCCCAAGGCAAGGGAGTAAACTGACTGTAAAAGTCCAGTTTCCACCCTTGCCAAACTAGGATGAAATAATGAAGTTATATTTTGGCTGGACCAACGAGTCTAAGCATAGTCCAATCAAAATCATGTTTTCAAAACAACATGGATTTCAATGTGAAGATTTCAGTCAATTGCAGGATTTGCAAAGGATGTGTACTGTCAACCTGACGTTGACAGATATTTTGCATATCTTTTCATGGTTTTAATCAAGGTGCTCACATGATTTACGTAAGACACGTTTTATTACAATATAGATCATGATCATCGGTCAGATCGTCTTGACTGGGCACTGCCATTTTGTTTGAAGCAAATGCAAGTGATATGAGAAGTAGAATCTGATTTGTCAAAAGGAGGGGCATAGAAGGGACATAACTCACAATATCCACTGGTGGCGTTATGATCGAACCCAAAATTCCAGCCAAGTTCGGCAAGGGTGGAAACTGGACTTTTACAGTCAGTTAACTCCCTTGTCTTGGGATGATGGTCAATTGTCAGTACTAAAAAGGCTGATATTAATCAATGTTAGTGTTTATGACAATTCAGGGGTTGATTTAACAGCTGGTCAGCCACCAGTTTAAAGTACGAAGGGCTTGCTGAAACATAAAGTAGTTGGCCCACCAGGCTAAGTTACACCCCTTCCAATTACCATATTTTCTTGAATGTAGTGCACACACCTCAAAAAAATATATACAGCTGTGTACAGGGGGGTGCCAGTAATACACCCCACAATGGGTTTTGATGGTTTTTCCCTCCAACACAAAGACATGTAATGTCTGACAATAATCAGCCCTGAAACCATATTGTTGTCAGGGTAGTGCAAAACTGCATCAAAATTCCTACACTAAGTCTAACCTATCACAAACCCTAAGTCTAACCTATCACAAACCTATGCTGTTGGTGGGGATTCAGATCTACTCTTCCACTGTACATTTTCCTCAACTCATTTCTTATGTACTGTAAAATAAAATAAAAGTGCAAAGACTTTCTGTCCATTTGCCCAAAATTAGTTCTAATTTTCATCATCCCTTTAATTGTGCCCTACATCATGTACATGAAATTTTGACTAAACTCATAACATTCCATGTGGCATTTAGGCGTTTGCCCTTAACATATTATTTATCTACATACTAAACTAAAGAAACCTGCGAGTTGAAACATGCTGTCCCTGATATCCTTGATATTTCTTCTGTTTTTACAATAGCAAAAAGGCTGGGGAAGAGAACAAGCTAAAAAAATAATACAAACGGTTAAAAAAGGGTACCTGATATCATCTGCCACTTATAACCAAGGATACATAAAGTATGTGCCCTTCACATAATCAATTTTTTTGTAAAAGAAAATACAGAGTTCTATTTGGGCAGTGTTTGCAATCATGAGAACAGCTTGTTACCATAAGTGAATATAACAATTCAATACCAGATGTAGAAAAAGAACATGTATCCTTTGTTGAAGATTAGCATTATTCTTTTTACATGAAGAAGAATTGTTGGCTTTTGCATGTTTTCTGCCAAATAACCATAAATGATAAAGTTAGCGTACTTGTATATGTTTCACGCTTACGCTACATTATATTTCAGAGAAGGGTTAGATGCATGAACAGCGATGACGTAATTCATTTGGTGTCATCTGCTACAGTATGCTCATCATATGCATAATTTGACTCCATATTTTCGTGGGCTCTATATTATCGCTGGCTCTATATTATTGGGGTATGACTGTATCGGAAAATCTTGTAATCCACACCCCATCGACTGTTGACTTTTGCGAATCTAAGCATGTTATGTCATCGCTTGATCAAATACAGGACTTTTTCGGTATATCACGGCTACTTGTAAGTATACACATTAACCTTTATACAACAGTTTCTGTACTGTTTGTGAAGTAGAATTACCTCCATTCAAAATTGGTTCCAAAGAACCCATTTTTTTTACGATGTCAGTCAACCCAAACTAGGTCGTATGCATACTGATTATGCATAATTCATAAAAGGAAGTACTGTAAAGCATATATATTCCACACGTAACATGCCGCAAAATGGGTATATTGCAATAATATAGAGTTGCCCACCCTTGAGTCGCTAATGGCAGATAGTGAGATACATAGTTTACCGATCTCGCAAAAGTAAATCAGCATCGATCAATCCTAACTGATGTGTCATAAAGGTTGAACACGAAACATTTTGCGTATGACATACTTAACAGGTTTGTAAGAGTGTGCCATTACGATGCATAATAAATTAACTACTGTGATAATATAGCATACCAAGCTATAGGAATTGAGGCAATATATCTATCAGGGTAAATAAGAGTTAGAAATCATGTGTTGATGATTGTGATTCATATGGCAAATGTGACATGCAAAAAAAAAATGGTAATCTGTGGATTCTTAGTTGGGCTATAAAATATAATTTTCAAGGATGAATCATTTCTGCATATCAAACGTGTAGAAGGGGATTCATTTCTGCTACTTTTGAGCTGAAGCCTTCATGCAAATTTCTATTCAAATGCGGATTTCAACAACAAGCTACTGGAAATTTGACAACAAATAAGCCAGACGCCTATTTTGCATAAAACACGTGTATTGGTTGAAATACCGGTACCCTAAATTTACTTGCAGTCTAGCAAAAAAGCCATGGTGATGAACAAGTCTGTTTCTTATCCATCTCCATACAAAAGACGCATATTATGGCTAATTACTTTGTTACATAATGAGCGTATGTCTATCTTCTTGCTGTATGCTATATGCCTGTACATAAATCACTGGACAAGACAGTTACAGAATTGTAAATGTGATGATACATTTGCTCAATCGTCGTTTGAAAAGCGTGATCAACTACGCACAGTTACATGGTGCATTTAGAGCATCCATACTTTATGTCACTTTAAAAAATCAACACGAGGTACATCGTCATTCCATTAATCATTCCATAAAGTATAAATTTACTTGCAACAAGCTGTATTTTGCTAATTAACATACCAAGTTGGAACCTCAAAATTGTTCGTAAGTTTATCCGACGCCATTGTGATTGTTCTGCCCCCTGTGAATGACAATCGCGGGCGAGTAACTCTAATATTCACCACCATCGCCTACCGCTAAACAAAATAGATATTTACTTAGGATATTTTTTTTATTGTTAAAAGGAAAATAAGTAAACAAATTAATATGCAAATAGTTATTTTATTTCTAATGTTAAAGTTATTCTACCTTATCATATATAATTAACAAAACTATCACGCTGAAGAACACAGGTTCGACTCCTGTCGTTTCGCACCCCCATGGAAACGAACTGAAAGGGTTGCTAGGCATCCAGATAGGTCCAGACGCTATTATTATACAATTTATGTGCTGTGAAATATCTAGACACTGCCTCTGTATATACGATAAAATATCGATTAACCCATGTCATAAGACCTAAGTTAGCAGACAAGTGATTTAAGTGTTATGTGAATAAATCGGTCTAAATGTGTATAAAACTGCACACGCTCTCATCTGAAAATAATCAAGAATAATACAATATTTTGGACCTTTCTTGATATGATTCAATACACGTAGACAAGTAATATGTTATTTTAATTACCTAATTAATCTGGCTACAACTGCATTGCAATGTTGAATATATGGTTGGCTGCCCGTTTCCCTATTGATAGCAGGTGAATGAATACACACTGGGATTTCGAGAATGATAATTATTTATCACCATCGAATGGAGTCATAGTACACTAAATAATTAAGACTGCATCACGGGAAATGGGGTTTAACGTCGCGTCCAAGATTAATACACGTATATAGGGACGTGCAAGCCAGTGTGTGTGTGTGTGTGTGTGTGTGCGTGCGTGCGTGCGTGCGTGCGTGCGTGTGTGTGTGCGTGTGTCGATTTTATATTTCAAGCCTACCCACTGAGATACCATGCCGCAGTTTAACATGAATACCCCACTCAGACACAGTATACTGACTCCGAGCCGACTAGTCCTTATTATATCCCCTTAATGCCGAGCGACAGGCAGGGTAACAACAAGTACCTTTTTAACGTTTGTTGGTATGACGCGGCCGACATAAGTTCTAACTGGTAGTTATAATCCTGATGTGGTGTGCAAGGAGGAAATTCTACTGTTACGTATTTAGTTCCTTAGTTACTTTAGGTCTTCCAGTCCCCAGGTACTGCTCGGTGATTACCTTTAACTGGGCTTAATACATACAGAGTTGTTGAATGAAACATGTATTATAGTGTTGAGATCGTACGACCCAGCCCCGATATATTGGACATGTCATTTAAGAAAACTGGGTCGGACGAGAAGGTCACCCAACACAGCGTAGATCAACTTTTATCTCATTTCCTCCAATTTCTGCAGAAACAATATGCATACAGTGATGAAGCTATTTAGCAACATATATCACTACAAATGATTACATCGCTGTTATACAATTTACACACAAGATTAACAGCAGGTTACAAAGTGGTTACTCAACATTTTTAACAGTTTGACCTAAACAAGAACACAGTCAGGCCAAGTGTCAGTGTCGCGTGCCTATGCCACACTGTTGGCTAATCGCCAAGAAGGAAGCAGAGAAATAAAAAAAAATTGCCACTGTTCCAAATTCGTAGGTGAAAAGTTACATTATACTAGCCTGTTTCAATGAGCATCAGATTCATACTGAACACGTCGGATGATGGATATTTATTAAAGACAAAATCTATATAACTATTACAAAGTCTCCCAAAGTACAGGAGAGTTTTTCGATAAGGGAATTGTCGCTAAAGTTTACAAACATTGGAGGAAGGTACTTATCTTAGTCCTATGGACATCCGGCCTAACGCTGACATCACTGAAGACAATGAGGAGGGCGATGATTCTCTCTGAACAAAACTTAGGATGCTGAGGAAGATCTACTACGTTTTGGGTGTTGATGTAGAGGGGAAATAAGTATCTAAATAATCTATCAACAATATAACATGTCATCTTTATCCACGTCTGAGAATGGGTCTTACGTCGTACGTAGCGTTATCAATGGGTTTATCAACATGTGAACAGTAGGCAGATAACAGTGAGGGCGACGTACGTCGCCATAGGTCTTTTCAAGTCCTTCTAGCTCCTACAGAAGTGTAATGATCTGATACATAGCTGTGTTTACAAGTAGTGTCGAGTCTCTACTATGGAGGGGGCGGGCAGTGGAAGTGAGTACTGGGGGGAGGGTGATGGGGAGGAGTCAGTGGCTGGAGAGGGAAACGACGACATCGTGTTGACTTCCGACGATGAAGAGGATCTTGAAGCGTTCGAGTTGTGGATGAAGGACCCGGTTACAATGGATTCAGACGAGGATGTAAACTCGGAGATATTGGACATGGACCAGTGAGTTGATTTTTTGGTTTATCATATTCCTTTTCTAAGTCAGCGCAAGAAACGTTGTAAAATAAGCATGTTCGTCTGTACGTGCAACAGTTCCCAACATGTTGAGAAGGCGGCGAAGGAAACAGAAAGTTCACCTAGTTTACATGGAGGTGGTTGCTAGGTCGTATTCGTGTGATCAAAATGATGCTGAAAGAAGGAGTTTAGATAAATATGGATGTATATCACATCATATTTGGTTAAAAATCGGGATAATATATACTTAAACATAAAAATACTCTAAAAATATGAAAAACGGATGACGACAGGCAACCCTGTCAATAGTCCCGTTTCGGTTAGTAAACAAATACAAGTCTATGTAAACAGGGAAATAACTAGTGCGTGAATTTAATATTTACTGCCTGCATAACACAACACTGGGGTAATATGTTCGTGTTGCCAACATTTTCTAAGAGTGCGTGAGGCCTTTTGTTTATTTCAAAATAGAACAATAATAATGCAACGGGATCTGTAATGCATATCGTCATTTCCTTCTGCGTGAAAGAAACATCAAGCATGTAGCATGAATCATATACGATCTGTATACAATATAACAGAATATCATGCTCGTGTTTGCAATGCGCATCTCAATATGTGTGAAAGTGGTGCGTCATACGGTATAGTTATGCATGTATGGCGATGTCGGTGTATAGTCGATGATGTATGCTTATATTGAGTGGGATCTCGGCAAGATTTCAATATACAGTGTAAGATCACGACCGTTCCCTTCTAGGGGCAGTGTATATTCCCTGTTATTTAACCTACATACACTTGTTTATTTCTGGCGTGACACTTGTTGCCGAACGCTGCCCTTTCCCAGTTCCTGTGTTCTCGAGCTACCGGCGTCCGCAGTACGTGACCTGTGAAGGCTTGTCTCGAACACTTACGTAATTAGGCATTAACTTCAGATTCAGTTTTTTTCAAATATGTAGTAGTCTTTCAATTGAATAACTCAGCTCCCATAAATTCAACTGGAGACTTATCGTTCAATTGAATAACACAGCTCACATAAATTCAACTACACACTTGTCTTTCAATTGTATAACATTGCTCGCATATATTAAATTGGGGATTTATCTTTTAATTGAATAACATTGGTCGCATAAAGTCAACTGGAGATTTATCTTTTAATTGAATACACAAATCACATAAATTCAACTACAGACTTGTCTTTCATGCAATTGAATAACATAGCTCGCATAAATTAAACTAGAGACTTTTCTTTCGATAGAATCACACAATTGCATAGATCGGTGCTCATGATGACAATCACTGGATTGTCTGATCGAGACTCATATTTACAAACCGCCGTCATATAGCTGGAATAATGCTGAGTGAGGCGCTAAACGATAAACAAACAAACAAAAATCTATCCGTCTCAATAGAGAGGTTGTGAATTGTGGTTCTGGATTTAAGAACTGGATATGAGATGGTAAAAATGAAAATGATAAAAGTTTGCATCATAAATAATTGTAATAAAACCCGTTTTTGCTAGACGCAACCAGGTTACGATCAAATTTCTTTGAGAAAAGCCGCATGGGGACTGAAATATAAAGGAAAACCACCTACAAATCTAAAGCGTTACCTACACATCTAAGGCATGGATATTTTTATGAGATTATACAGGTATCTAATTTAATGAAATATTAGTATATTACCTGTGATAATTTTAGGGAATTACAACAACTCTGTTTGAACTCAGCGTGGTGTTTCAGCGTGGTGTTTTAGACAAGTGTAGAAGTTTTGGGTGATAACTATCCTCCATAATCCAGTGTATCATATCTCCTTTCAGTTATGATACACATCATGAACCCATTCATAGCCATATCGACGCCATGTCGCTCAATGTATTCATCTAATCAAAATACTCTCATGAGCGAGAGAAACAACATTAAGGACATGTGCAACATTAAGGAAATGTGCAACATTAAGGACATGTGCTATGGACGTAGACTAACATTTAATCTCTGAAATCTTATATTACACAATATCCTTCTTGACTCTAAAAATATATAAAAATTCACAGTGGAATAGAGCTAGCTTGAGCTGGCTAGACATGCTTTTGTATATATTTCTAGATTATTATCTTTTCATAAAATAAATATATTCCACGGTCATGGTGCATGACTAAGATGGAGGTGGTAACGTCACTTCCAAAACTAAGAAGCTATGGCGTCCAATATATGTCAAGGGTATATATCATAATACAATAGACATATATTACACTGGATAATCGAGGGTGGAAAGGTATTCTGAATGGGAATCTACCTGTTAAACATAAAATCAAGAGACGCACGGCGTACAATTACTTTATTAAGGATTGGCGAACTACCCATTTACAAAAAAACATTTGTAGACGTGATGGTATTCCACATCCACAATAACTTCCTAATTTATTTTTTACAATGCAGTACTCTGTCTCGTTTATCTAAGATTATAACATTGGTATTTTGATGCAACTCGTATTTTCGCATTTATAAAAATGGACATTTTGTTTACGTGGTCCAAGGCCTGTACGATTGATTGATTGATTGATTGATTGATTGATTGACATGTGTATAATATGTGTCATTGTCACGGCACAGTTCATTGAATTTCTTCAACCACTGGTCAGCTGAGTCAGCATCTAGGTGAGACAGGGTGAGATCACGTACCAACTTGTGTTTGCATGAGAACCTGTGAGTTTTATTTCATTTATTGCTTGTTTTCACGCCAAAGTAATGAGAAAATACTGCGCCGTTTTGTCTTGGTAGAGGTTCCGTTTTCGCCAATTGTTGCGTTTTGCCTAGGTTCCGCTTTAGCTATAGACTTTCACAACAGGACAATATATAGTAGTCTTTATATTCGTTAACATGATAAGAATGAGCATTTGATTTTCACATAAGATGAAATGAGTGTAATTGTTAGACAATTAAATTTGTATTTGTTTGTTTTGTTTTCTTTCTTTTTTTAAATATCGCGTGGTTTTCCATCACATTTTCATGTATTTTTTAAGGAAGAGAATTTATGGATGTCAACTTATCTATAATGAGGAACACTACGTTTCATAGTATATGCTTACCCCTAGGCAGAGAGCATATATATATGTTCACATAAGAACAACAAAAGTAAATTAAGATAACAAAAGGTGGAAACTTAACAAGGGAATCCAACAGTTATTCTTACGTGTATATATATGTGCTCTCTGCCTCATATCATTCATTCACCCGATGAAGGAGTAAGCATATACTCCGAAACGTTGTTTTCCTCATAATAAATAAGTTGACATCCATAAATTCTCTTCCTTATGTGTATCACTTCTAAACGCTTTTCAAAGACAAGTATCTGGATACGTAGGAACATGTATCAATTATGCTAAAATATGTATCCAGTGTAAGAAAGGTTCCGACCTGTTGACATATTGAAGCATTAGGATAAATTTGTTTAAATTTAAAAGACCCGAATAAAGTCTAGCCGGTGTTTGCATGGAGTCGCGAGCCACGTGCTCAGCGAAAACGAGGTTGTTGGTATATATTCTACTTCCGGTATGAGATGAGCTACGGGACGAGACAAAAGGCTGTTGGTGTTATTTGTATGTCTGTGTTTTGCCGACCGGTTTTCAGCATGATAACAGATTTCTAGCACCCGCACCCGCCTGGATATGCATATGTTGTGACTAACACTAGGTCAATAACGGTAGCTGACGATTGAACGTCCGAGGTAAACACTTTGACATTTCTTCCCGAATATTGTTACTTTCAAAAACAACAGTTGCTGTCACCAGAAGTCGTTTAGCTGGAGGTCAATCGATTTCTAATGTACGTTCAATAACAATGACAGTGACATTTTCATAAATTAAGATAAATGATTGTCATAATGTTGATAAATTACTCAACTGTCAGCGAGCAACATTTGTGAATGGTGAGGTTATTTCTGAAAAAAAAACCACCTCCTTATAAGTAGGCCCCTATCATGATTTAGGCCTATTAAAAAACACGGGACATGTTTCAAACTTTGCATGGTTTGCTCAACGTTTGATACTAATATGTGTGTTTACTCATGTATTTTCATATTTATCTAACAGCATGCTGAATTAAGACTTGACATAATGTCAATATCATGTTTGAGTTGTCAGCACCATCACAGAGCCATGACAATGAGACAATGGTTCAAATTGCGCAGAACTAGGAGTGATATCTTTTGTAGGGTGTACTCACTATGCCAGAAAAAGGTTATCAAACAACATTGTAAATTTGGTCTGAAAGAACACAAGGAAAGGGCACCTGCTAGATCTGTACAAAGACGTGTATATACGTCTGTGATCTGTAATAATAATTAGATTTGTTTCCTTTCATAGCCGATGTCATGATGGCACATCAATATGGGTATGTGCCATTCTGGAGCTTCTGGGCAAAATTGGTCCGCCAAGGTTGAAAATTCATGAAAGGCTTAGGAAGATCTGGTGCCATTTTCCAGTTTAGGTCTTAATCGTTATTAATGCCATATGTGAAAATGAGACATTGTCCCTGTTACTTGTAGCTACTAGATTCACATACATTAGATTCTTATATACAGTAAACTACAGTTAGAACGAACATGCTTTTAACGAACTGACCGATATACGTCATAATACCTGAGTCAGCAGACAAACAGACTAATGAAGTGAAGTCTTTGAAAGGCATTTAGAAGTGATACACATAAGGAAGAGAATATATGGATGTCAACTTCTTTATTATGAGGAACACAACGTTTCGGAGATTATGCTTACTCCTTCATCAGGTGAATGATGAAGAAGTAAGCATATACTCCGAAACATTGTGTTCTTCATAATAAAGAAGTTGACATCCATATATTCTCTTCCTAATGAAGTGTGGTTTGAAAGACAGTCCAACTTGCTAGGAGTAGGAGTGAGTCAATGACAATTGGGCCGGGCCCAGTCCCTCTTTAACATGTGATCAAGTGACCACAGCACCTTGTGACTAGACAATACTTTGAAGGTCATTGCATCATGTCAATGGACAGCTGTCGACCCACTGTTTCTCTGTCACGGTCGCACTTCCTCCTCATTAACATGATCAATGATGTGCTATTTGAATGTTCCAAATTTAGAACATGGTTGAGTGATGTTCCGATGATTGATAATATTCTATTAATCATGATAACCATTGATTGGTCAGTTACCCTATACCCATGCAATAATCAATTGTCAGTATCCATAATCAACAGAAATTAATATTAAATGTTTTTTAAAAACATTCAAACTTTCTGTTGATCTGTGAATAATTACTCATAATAAACACTCTGTTCTGCTAACCAAAAAATCTTTATTTGTGGAAAGAGTTTGTGAAATAATACAAGCATTTTTGAGTTTATTAAATAGCTGCTTTGACATCCAATTTTGGGAACATAACAAAAATAATCAATCTATTCTATAGGAAGATTACTGATTTTATCAAATCAACACCAATTCTGACTTTCACAGTCTCCAATATAAAATTGCCCTATATGCAGTGATTCATAATAGTTCAGTTGAGTGTTGTCTAAATTCCTCTTGAGAAGTCCAAAAAGTTTTCTTCCTTTCGATTCAAGTATTGTGTGTACATAAGAATAGATGACATCATAGGTATCATGACTCGTTACAGACCTACTTAGGCGTAAAAAAATAAAAGAAATGGTTCTCAGGCAATGACTTTTGAAAATATAGTATGGGCAGGTGGTGTTTTATTTTTTTTGGCTTGTTCAAACTAGTACCGGTATGTAACCTAATAAACAGTTGTGTACCATCAACCTCCCCACATTAACAAGCACATTCCAATTGCCACCATGTTATTGGATTGCATTGTTTTTAAGTATTGGGATTATTATATATTTTTGAAAATGGAAATATAAACGAAACATGTGGCAGACTTTATGTTGATGTGCACGGTGCCTGAGAACCAAGATTATTATTTGTTTTAGCCTTACTAAGTATGACACATACCCACACCTAAAGACACGATATAGGGCCTTAGTCCCCCAGCCATAGAAATTGGCACTAGTCCTAAAGCTCTTACCAATCTGCCCAGTAGTTAAGGTATCGCGAGGATGATTAGAAGTGTTATCTTTATGTTATCATAAGGAATATCAGGGTTAGAAACTAACAGCTTTCATCCACTAGTCCTTATAGTGAAAACATATAGCAAAAAGGACAAATTTCTACTAGTCCTATGATACCTTTACCATTGGGCAGTTTGGCAAGGACTACAGGACTAGTGCCAATTTCTAACGCTGAATATTGGACTAATCATGTTAGTTTTTGTCTCTGAATCCCTGTCATCATTCGCAACCCCGAGAACTCGCCTTTCTCTGTAAAGCTCCTTTGAAATTCTGCAGTAGTGAAGGCATTTATAGCAGCATCTGACAAGGACCGTGTGTCAACATGGAAGCAGGACCTGGAGATGACAGATGTTCGATCATGCTATTGCAGCCAATAATCTGTGTCCAACTCAGTTTGCTGAAGTTGGATATCGCCATGTGTTACTTAAGATACCACAGTATGTGCCCTGATGTGGTATATTTTTCAACTATTTGTTTAGCTGACCTAGCCAGAGGTGACATTTTGAAACATGACACTAAGTTCAGGAATATTGCTTTTGATTTCATGAGACAACACAACACTTTCAACTCCGTAATCTGTTAACTAATGAATACCATTGTCAGTCCTTGCCATATGTCAAGGTCATGTCAAAGGTCAGATACCAGTAACTTGAGAGAGATTGCTAATCAGTGGCATGTATGTTTTATTCTATAATGACAACATTTTTTGTACAAATTATTAGATTTTAGTGTTCGGGTTTTTTTTGCAACCCCAGTATTTATTCAGAAAATTTTTGAATTTCACTGATGAAAGTGACTTTTGTTATTAGTGGCTGTCTGTGTACACATTTTAAACGGTTGACTACATATCCAGGTGAGCTACAGTGCTGTGGCACTATTTTCATTCAAGGTAAATATTTGTTCCCAATATCTGTGTACTTAAGTCATCCTGAGCTTATCAACATGTGTGTTACCCGGTAACTGACACTAAATATCAGCTGTGGATTAATGTGTAGAGTTTTACATGAACAAGGAAGCAGGAGAGTATGCACAAGTACTGTCGTTGTGCAAAGTTTCATCTGGAATATTGAGTGACAAATTTTGTATCTGTCTGTTTCTGGAATACGATCTAGTAACCATAAAAAAGATCTAAAATAAAATTTAATGTATATTTATAACTATTGACAAATTGGAAACATTTATTTTTTTACAAAACTCAATAAATGAAAGTATTAGCTGTGCAAATGTTAGTTGATCAAATCCTGTATATGAAGCCCTGACATTACAAACGTCATAAGGAGAACAAGGCAGGAGAACTAATTTTACGCATGTCAGGTAAAAATACCAAACTGCCTGTACTTGAACAGTTTAAGAAGATATTCTTTCCTTTTGATCCACCCAACCTAAACAACTTCATGCGAAATCAAGTAAGTAATACATGTACTAAGTATCACCAACCCAAGCTAATTCAGCAATTGCAAACATCCGAAAAACAAACATGTGATGATAAAAACATGCTAAAAAGTGTGTCATTGCATTTGATGTGTGCAACATGTGTACGGGGGAGTATGTGCTTGACGGCATGAACAGCGAAGTCATACAGATCATATTGATAGTGTAGTCGTGCATGGCATGAAGTCAGAGTTATCTCCCTTTTGCCATATTTCCCTATTGAGATTTAGCATGATTAGGAGGGGATCAAGGATGTGAACAGAAATTTTAAATTTGGGCTGGGTTGTGGACCATGGTTGACAATGGGGAATTGTGACTGTACGATATCATCAATCATACTGGCTTAGCTTATTGAGTGGCAAATCGAGGGACTTTGCAAAAGTTAGCTACTTTTCCAGATTGCTATGTATCTGTCATTGCATCATGCCAGGGTGTTTACAAAGTTTGTTTCACATCTAGTTAACATCTTTTACAAAGATACTATCTTATTTATTAGTTGTTTTCACTGTGTGGTGATGAGTAAAGAAGGATCATGCTAATCAGTGTTCGTGAGGTGCATTGTTTATTGTCTCGCGATTGTCTGGCAGAGCTCCAGATAAGCTTTTGGTGTTGTGGGTATTTTATCCATGCATTTGAAAATCATTGGGTATCAGTAATTCTATCTGGGTATTCAAATTTCTGTTACCCACTAGTTTTTACACATGTGGGTATTTAACTTAAATATTTAAAAACACTATTCATCTAGTCCCTGCAAACTGGTGTCGTGTTGGTTCGAGAGTTTTATAGGACTCAAAAATACTACGATACTTCCACAAGAAAGTGTGATGGCAAATGATCATGATGTAACTGTCATCGTGGAGTTTGGCAAGGTTGACGGAATGCCCATTTATAATTTCAAAATAAGTTGCTGATTTTCTAATCGAATACGCAGGGTTACTTCACAATATTTTGATGATACGCCCAAGTTTTATTTTTGTAGCGTATCTGTAATGTTCGTTGTGTATTTGATACGCTTGGATTTTATTTTACTGCCTATTTCTGCATTTCTGATGCGTATTTTACGCAGATACGCAGCTTATCTGGAGCTCTGTCTGGATAAGGTAATTTAGCATCAAGATATAGGGATGGAAATGAAGATGGGAACGCTTAGTTGTAGACGCATTAATGCTATTACATGCGATGCTATGTTCCCAGCCTGTCTACCAAGTACGTGTTGGGAACACTGCACACAAACACATCTCAACATTTGATTCTGACATGTTGAATTTGTATTTTAAATATTCTGACTGGCTTATTCCCCAATATTTTTCAATATTCCCTCACTCATTTCCATCAGTATATCAACTCAAAAGTATAACGATATATCATTGTATCAATTAATAACAAAATTAGTATATGTATCGTGTATAGATATAAAAATTCTATCTGGACAGACAATTAATCAACTTTATAACACTACATGTGAACCGGGCTCATCCATTAAATGTTTACAATTGAATTTTCTGCCGTCTTATTGTCCATCTTATTAATATTGTGTTTATCAATTTGTATTGATACACTACTGAGTAGGGCTGGGACGATTCCAAATATACTACCTGGGTACCCAGGTGTCGTTGTACAAAGCGATCTTAGTGCTCAGGTGATCGTAACTCCCATACCTTAACACAGACTTACGACAGTCGTGGCACTAAGGTTGTTTTGTACAACTCACTTTCTCACTCCTTCCTTACCTGCATTAACATAATTAAGGGATTCTCTAACATCATCAGCTTTGCCCAAACGTTTAAGCTGCTGGAATTCACTGTGCATAGTCTGAGCCCTTTTTCCTGCCAGGACGAACATTTCTGATGATGCTCCTTGGTTTGTCAGCATCATACTGATGTTCCTGGGTTTGTCAGTATCATACTGATGTTCCTGGGTTTCACTAAATGTCTGCCATCCTCGTCTCTTTGGGCTGTTATACCTGATAAAGCCGTGAAGGTGTGACTCGAACGACATTAACCCAACTCTAACTACATGCTTTAATGCTCACACCTCCAACCAATTGGTGATTGATATGTCACTACAGCCTACTCCATCTGCACAACGCCCCCATTGTAGTGATGCTTTGAGTATTGACTATCGCCAACAGTTGGTATGTAACTTGTTGCTAAGCCAGCATATAAATCCATAGTTGATAGTCACAAGTGGGAAACCGACGGGAAACAGACTCAAGTAATGAGATCATGAACAGGAAAAGTTCTTTTGTTTGTAATATTAATGCTGTATTAGACTGTAAATTAACTACATTTTTTGAGAAAACAACTAGTCCAGTGAATGATTGATTATATGTTTTGTAATCTGAGGGCTAATTATTTTATGCCAGAACTTTCGGGAACTGATTTTTTTTGTCATTTGAGACAAACTCAAGGTACCTCAGTGCTGACAAATGCTACGACTGTCAGCATGGTCTAAGGCAATGTTAATGTAGGGAGGTTTGGGCAGATGTGCTGAGATTGCTTTGTGCAAAGGCAACTTCCTGATGAGTGTTTGAATTCAAACCTGAAAGTAATAAGTTCCTTGTGAGAACACTAATGTTAAAAGTTGAAAATGAATGGTTTTTTAATTTGAATAACACAGCAGTAAACATGAAGGACCCCAGGAAGCCCTTGTGACCACTGATGATAGTGTGTCATCCTACCCTGGCCATAGCGGCATGGATTCTTTTTCACACTGTCAGCCTCTGGGTGACCTTGAGCATGTTGAGGCGGCTGTAGTACCATGTGAACCATATTGTACAATATCCATTTCACTGATAAACAGTCAACTTGGTGGTGAGGTACTTTTTGTGGTTTATGAGTACTGGTACTCCCATCATGGCGAAGGCTCTAGTTCGATTCCACACAGGGGTACATTGTGTGAAGCCCATTTCTTTTAAAACTGTTCTTCACACATCTTCAATTAGTACAATTATCCTGATTAGAACTGTTGGTGGTATCGACCATCAAGAGCTATGTTCATTCTGTTTCACTGAATAGGACTTTATATAAAAGGAAATCATTGAATGGGTATTGATTAGAATTTCTATTTTAAGCAGTTGTTTCCCAGTCCACTTTCATCGGTCAGTCCCTGGGTAGTCTGGTAGACTAGAAGCCCCCCATGCCGAGACAGATCCCCTTCTCTGGGCTTGCACTATTTACTCAGGGAACTCCAGTCTTATCTACACCTCAGTCAATTACATATTGATACCAAGCTGCCATGTTTTGTTAGGACAGCCATAAAGTGCCACCGGGAAACGTGCTAACAAAACAATTTATTACGACTTCCTATGAGACTTGAATGGGCGATCTCTCATCCCTCAGCTGTGTACCTTGTGACTTAGATAGCTAAAGTGCTGTACAGTTGACAGGGAGAAGCAGCACGATTGTCATGGGTTGTATGGCACGATTTTACACCAACACTCTTACTTCAAGTCTGTGGTCGAGGGTACATGTACTTGATGAACAGAGGCTGTTTTGACCATCATACGTGCACGCTGAGCACAAGATGCTTTGGATTAAGAAATTCCCTTCAATGTAAGTATGTGGCTTACAGTCTTGTGGAACTTGCAGTGTTTGAAATGAGGGAGAAGAATGTACAGGGTTCTTGTCAAAATATCACATGACTGTGTCCCAGAATTGGTGCCGATTTTCTGCTTTGTTCTTAACATTGTAATGTGAATGAAGACATTGTCTCTGTTTAACGAGGGTTATTAGTATATTACTTTCTTCTTTATTGATATGCATCATAAACTTGGACTTTTAGACAAAGATAGTGCTGTTTCATAATCTGAAGCAAAGGACGAGGTAGGATACCGACCCCTTTTTGCCCACGGAATCTGCATTATGTTAGAATTGAGTAAAATGTTTAGAGCATGCATGCATTGGAACCTCATTGCGTGACGGCAAAGCACTGCATGTCATTATAAATTGAATGTCTGTGCACATTTGAAATTAATGTAAAGACATGCAGATGCATGTTTTTATCCAAGTGCTAAAATAGCACACAAACATAAAGATGGGATGTTTTCTTATGTCCTTGAACCTTTTATCAACATGTGGTTAAAATCTGTTGGAATTTAATATGTTTTCCCAAATATTTTTTCTCCAAATATGCCTCTAAAATGTGAATTTGGTGTGCAAGTAATAAGTTAATAAGTGTGCCCAGCACTATAGAACACTCGCTATCGCCCCCTCGCTTTCAGTTGGAAGGCGTTATTTAATCATCTACATACCTACCCCAGAAACGGTCAAAGACGCCGACTACTCACCAGTGAACAGACTTAACCATGTTCAGATGTCATCAAGTTTAAGTGGTCCGTCGAGAATGTCAAGAACACAAGTGCCCCCTTAATTTCTGTCACTGACTAATGCTAAGATCAGTATTACTCCTTTAAGATTGTTTATCTGTCAGCATGAGGGGACGATGTAGGATGTCAACACCCGCTATTTATTTGTTCAGGTTTTTCAAGTATGTTCTAGTGTGTGTTTCAAAATGCATAAAATGCACATTAGAAAGGTTTAATGGTTCTGTGTATTCCCTCTGCTTTAGTGTGTCAAGCAGGTTTATGCAAGCTGTCACATGAAGGCTTGCTGAGACAATGTTGCTAACTGCTGTCACAGGCTGGCTCGTAACGAAATGTTGGAATAACCTTTTGTCATGCTCAGGCAGGCGTGCTGTTATACTAATGGCAAGAATTAAGTGTAATTATTGGCATTCTGATGGTGCAAATTTGGGAAATTACTGAAATGTTATAAACGTTTATTGATTTGATTTGTTTTTTTATTATGAAGTTTGAATGGTGTTTGATACATGTATTTGGGTTTGAGTGAGTGAGTATGGTTTTACGATGCTTTTAGCAATATTCCAGCAATATCACAGCGGGGGACACCAGAAATGGGCTTCACACATTGTACCCATGTCGGGAATCGAACCCGGGTCTTCAGTGTGACGAGCGAACGCTAGGCTACCCGACCGTCCCATTTGGGTTTGAAGTACACAGTAGTTGATTGTAAACCTGGTAATCAGCATTGATCAGGGTACAGTTTCATTTTCAATATAGTTAAGGTTGTTTCAAAAGTGATGGAAAAAAGTATGATTGATCTACACATTGGAAATAACAGTTTTTGCCATTTTTTTTAATATAAGATGTTTCAGCAGGAAAAGGGATACCAATCAGAATAAAGCATTCTTCAGTGTCATGGTAGAATTGTTGGCATGGGAGACTTTGTTCATAGGAAGTGATGTGAAGCTGCTGCCCCATGGTAGATGTGTTAGGGTAGTTCGAAGTGTAGTGTGGATTCCAGTTTAGAATGGGTCAATGAATGGTATTAATCTATGCTTGTTGTAAGAGGCGACTAAATACAGTGTTTGTTTGTTTGTTGTTTAATGCCCCACACAGCAATATTCCACCTATATGACGGCGGTCTGTCAGTAATCGAGTCTGGACAAACTACATTGAGTCAGAGTAGCTTGATAGGTTGTATGTCATTGTACCCCGACTACAAGGGATTGCTGTTAAAATAGCAATCATTAGTTTTGTGGCCCGGACCACTGCGATATGGCTAGTATATTGCTGACTGTTTTGGAAAGTGTTGTCATTCAAGGTGATCTATGCTCCATAGCCTGGTGCACATGTTCATATGGTTGTGTTTGTTTGTATGTTTGTTTAACGTCGCACTCAGCAATATTCTAGCTATGATGCCAGTCTGCAAATAATCAAGTCAGACAATTCAGTGATTGACATCATGAGCATCGATCCACGCAAATGGGATACAATGACATGCGTCAACCAAGTCAGCGAACCTGACGACCCGACCCTGTTAGTTGCCTTTTCCGACAAGTATAGTCACCTCTTATGGCAAGCATGGGTCGCTGAAGACCTATTCTTGTCTCTGTGCAATTAGGGTGATCTTTAACTGCATGGTTGATATATATCCTAAAACTTTTCATTTGAAAGGACTTGAATCATAATCACTTTGACTGCATCTGACCTGAGCTTAGTCAATCAGTTATCTCTCTGTTACAGAGCAGTTCAATAGGTCAATGTCTGAAAAAAACAATGCAACAACCAAAAAGTTATTTCTGAAAACATTGAATTCCTGCGTTTTGTGGCCTCTTTTATCACACGTTCTTGTGTTTTACCTTGCTTTTTCAGAACATTTATCGACTGAAGTTTATTTTCTAGGTGTTGATTATCACTTGTAGGGATTTTATGGATCAAATCTGCAGTTCTATATTGCTCACTGCACTAGATGGACTTACCACTATTGCTGGCCATGATATAACCCAACCTTGTGGAAGGACTGGATGTATTTGATAACATGAATGAAAATAGGACTGGTCCCTTAGCACTGATCAAGTGTTCAGGAAAATAGTTTTCCCTGCTTCACTGTTCAAGCATGCCTGAGAATTTCCCTCTTTCAGATGTGTATATCATTATTACAGCCTGTGCCTGGTTCTTGGCATACTTTTCAGTAGATTTTAGTGTTAAATATATAGACCATTATTTCACTGTACAACATTTGGACACTAGCTCGAAGCCAGAGTCTAGAAACATTCTGTTTGGTCTTGTAAGCGCTGGTGATATGGTCTGTATTATAACACTGAATCCTAATGAAAATGATGCACACAACCAAGTTTGGGCCATCTTTCTGGGGCAAGAGAGATCACTGACTTTAGTAGTCCAGTTTTCATCCTTGCCGAATTTGGCTGGAATTCCTGGGCTCGATCATAGCACCACGACTGGCTATTACGAGTTATGTCCCTTCTATGCCCCTCATGTGGACCAATCAGATTCCACCTCTCGTATCACTTGCATTTGCTTCAAACAAAATAGCGGCGCCCAGTCAAGACGATCTGATCGATAATCAAGAACTATATTGTGATAAAACTGATCCTACATCGCAAAATGCATCAAATCACGTGAGCACATTGATTAAAAACTTGAAAAGATTTGGAAAATATCTGTTGACACTGAGTTGGCGGTGCACATGCTTTGCAAATCCTGCAATCGACCGAGATCTGCATGAACATGATGAAAGTTTACCGACTGAATTTTTATTTAATTGCGCGATTTTGATTGGACTATGCATAGACCCGTAGTCCAACCAAAATCTAATTCCACAATACCAGTCTAGTTCGGCAAGGGTGGAAACTGGACTTTTATAGTCATTAGCCCAACCAAAATCTTATTCCACAATACCAGTCTAGTTCGAAAAGGGTGGAAACTGGACTTTTATAGTCCGTTAACTCTCTTGCCTCGGGAAGATGAGTTTGGGCTTGTACGGTCAAAATATTTTGGCACAGACTGTTATTAGCTTAGCTTTCTTGACTGAACAGATTTTGGCCGCGGGCTGTGGCCTAGTAGCTAAAGTCACAGATTGTTAAGATGAAACTTCATTGCTGATTTTCTGTCAAAGAATGTTTTCACAGGTGACATAATTGCTGTCAAATTTCTTAATATTGCTATATCTGCTCACCTGGTTGATACAGAGAACTGTTGCCTGATGTCATGTCTGTGTGTTGCCACAATGTGTGTCTTCCAACCATTGTGCTTGTTGTATACATTTCATAACTCCCGTGGGATAACAATGCCAAGTGTTATTACAACTGGTTATCATGCTTGTCACATAACACCATGTCCCCCGCTTTGCTTAAGCTGATAATATTGAAGGATTATGTTTCTTTGGTCTGTGAACAGACCGAGTGATCATGAACGCCACTGACTGACTACCTGTGGCAATTGTTATGGAATACAATAGTCCCGGTATGAGTTAATTACGCGCTCAAAGAAGGAATTCCTTACAGGCCTGTTGGGAGTGTTATATTGCTGTACATGTCCGTATACTTAGTGGAATGACCGCAACGGCTAGGCTGACCAACCCATTTGTTTGCTTTCTGCCCTGAACTAATGACTTGCTTAATTAAGACTTCTCTCAGGTCGAATATAGTTGGCAATGGATGACTGCCATTTACAAGTAGCAAGAGTCCGATCTGTTCACCCGAAATCACCCAGAATGAGGTACCCCGATCTCTCAAGATTATGCAAACGATGTCGGTAAGGGTTGTTTCTTCTAATCTTAGGCAATAAGCTTAGGTTGACATGGATACTGTGTCTACATGTTGTATTTTGTAAGTGAATGTCTTTTCATATATATATATAACATGTATATCAGCCTGTGTGATATACGGGTTGTATGTGCGACCCTGCTGGCAGTGTAGGGGCAGATGTAGAGCAAGTAAATAAGCGTTCGGAGGTCAGTGGATTAGTATTGGTATTCATGCGTAAATAGGATTATTGATATATCTATCCTGAAGGTATTGACTGTGGAAGTGTATTGGTTAGGCGTCTGTATTTTCAGTTTACAGATTCGACCAACCGGAGCTAAAAGTCACACTTGGAAGAAAAAACCTCCTTCTTTGATGCACTCAAAATTTAAAAATATATGGCTCCAAAAATCGTACAATATTAGAGTAGCTATGAACATATAACATGATTAACTTTGAGATAACAATTGACCTATTGTGTGTTGTCTCTTACCACTGCAATCCTATGAAGTGTGCCTTCTGGGAAGCAAAAGAAATATTATATATATGTTTATATGTTATACAAATGCCGAAGACCATCCAGTCCAACTTAACCATCCAGTCCAAACAAATTCCTGCCAAATAAAATAAAACAATTTTGAGCTAAGCAAATTTTTCTTTATTGTATAATTGTATAATATGAGCGGATAATGTGATATGTTCGCAGAAATCAATGTGTAGCCTTATACTATAATTATAGTTAGGCTTGTAAAGGGATGGGAATCTTCCTCAGATCCACAAAGTTTAGTGACCTCAAATTTGTTAAAATCTGATGGCTTCCCCCATAAACACCCCAGATAATCGACCACGCTCCATTGCAGAGATGTTTCCATTCTCATCCCTGCAAGTATTATGACATAATCATATGTGTACATTCAACTTTGTTTAATCCCAAATACATGATGTGTATCCATCCATAAATGAAACTGCTCCCAATGCCAAAGTTTTAAAAGTTGTGAAATTTGTGCTCATGTTCCTGTTTTGCTTGGCCCTAAATCATGAGCATAGTATTAGTATTCATTTCATAATGGTCTCTGGCGACTGAAATTCACATCTGATGTTCCTATTTTACCAGTCAGAAGCTGTTAGCTACAAGTAGACAGAAACACTGTTATTTGTCTCAAGTTGATGAGATATGAATCAGTTTTTTTTTATCATAAATGTGTTCATGCAGGTATAGGGCTGGTGGGGTAGCCTAGTGGTTCAAGCGTTCGCTTGTCATGATGAAGAGTACAATGTGTGAAGCCCATTACCGGTGTCCCCCACTGTGATATTGCTGGAATATTGCTAAGAGCGACGTAAAACAATACTAACTCTCTCATGCAGGTATACTGGAAAATTCTGTCAACATGTTGGTCATTATTTGACAAAGCAAGATAACAAAATGTTTAAAATAAGAACCAAAAGAAGGATTGGACCTGTTATTGAGCCACAATGTTTTTTTCATCCTAAAGTCAGAGTGGCATTCTTGTGAGTGGGCCTGTGTTTGTTGACAAACAGACAGTTGTGTTCCGATGGCAGTGAAAGTAAATGTGCCATTTCACCCTGACCAGTGAGTTGAGTCAAGCTGCTAATCCTTGACCTTGACCTCCAAGGTGGCCATTGCCGGCTGGGCTCTGTGTGTGTGTGCCGTCATGCTCCGTCCATCATTGCCCGTATCCACATGTTGACATGTTGTTCGTGTGGCGTAATCTGTGTACTGGCCAGTTGGTCAGGTCATGTGGTGACCTCCATAACATCTCGCTTTCATCTTATCCTTCATCTTGTACTGACTTGTAGCAAGGCGATGTCGATTCATGCCACTTGTCACAGTTTGGATTTTACAAAGACCAAACAGTTTATAATTATTGAATGAGTTTATTTTTTACAGCTTTTTGAAATACCGTTGAATGAAGGTAAAGGAGATGTTGCAGATGTTGTCTGTGGCAAAAACTTCTGGATCTACTCGTCTGAAATTCTCTTGGCAGAATTTTCAGTAGATCTTAGTGGTAATATATTATTAGCTGAGCATACTTCTACTTGTCTAGCTTGGGCTTCTGACCAGTTGCTGAAGATGCTTGATGAAGATCATGCTTGATACTATAGATCTTGCTTTTGTAGGTTGTTACTAAGGTTGGGATATGGTAGCCAAATGGTTATAGTGTTTTCTGGTCAAGCTGGAGACCAGGGTTTCATTTCCAAATTGTTGTCGTCGGTAATGACGTGATTGAATATTGCTGAATTATACTTAATCGTGTTAATCATTCACTGTTTTAACTGATCTCATCTTTCTATTTGTCTAGTGACATCAAGTGGACATTTTGATCAGCTTTGTCTGCAAAATGGATTTCAATGTGAAATATCAAAGGTGAATGGTTTGATGTGTAGTGTTCTCAGAATAATCGTTCCCTTACCCCACAACAGGATGACCCTTGAGGAGGAGGACCCCCCAGGACGAGCCCTGCCCCCAGAGTCGGACCCCCCTGTCCTCATCAAGCCAATGATTCACCCGTGTGTGGACCCCCCGCTCTGTGAGACCTGCCATCAACAAGAGTTATCCTTCTTTGATCCCGGTTGTCCAGGATGCCGGGAAATACTGCTCAATCCCAACACGTCCGCACCTGAAATCTTTGCCGTCCTCCGCCAATGGACACCTCAAACACAACAAAACCTGGAGTTGCTGGTGAATGAGGTGAGGTACACGAGCAATAACTCATGGAACTCATTTCAGGACATGGAATTCCGAAATGATGAGAAGATCCAGAATGCATTTGGTTTTGAATTTTCAGCCATACCCATGTAGAATTATTACTGAGGGACTGGGAATTTATTATAGGAGTGGGTTAGGAGGTGGGATTGGTCTTATTGTCATATTTTGCTGACATTAGCATGTTGGAATGATTTATGATTCTTATATTTGAAAAAATGAACAGTCTTCATCATTTTCTTAATGCCCCAACCCCATGTTTCCTCCCATGTCTTAGTTTTCTTTCATGAAGTTCATGAAGTACATTTATATGATTTTTGTTAACATGCTGATTAATTAAATGTGTCAAGGAAATATTTGCGATTTTGAAAGATTTCCTTGCAAAGAATTTAATGATTTTGTAATTTTTCAGATAACTAAACGTGGAGCCAATATCAATGATCGTGATGGCTTGACGGACATGACATTACTCCATTATGCCAGCAAAGCAGGGGCTGCTGGGATAGGTGACCCTGAACTTGCAGCTAGGGTCGTGAGCTCCTTACTGTCTCAAGGTGCCGATGTCAACATCCGATGTCGGTGGACAAACATGACAGCGCTACACTATGCAGCATACTTCGATGTGGTGCCGGTCATTAAAGTATTATTAAAAGCAACCAAGGCATTAGGTCAGTATGATCTTGTTGATTTTATTTAAATGGTTTGAGTGTTATGGTGCCTCTGTCCATTTCATGCTGTAACCATGCCATGATCTGTGGTGTTAATCATGCAGCTGTAGTGTATTTCCCTGATGATATTTCTACATGATCACGTCACGCCGAAGACCCGGGTTCGATTCCCGACATGGGTACAATGTGTGAAGCCCATTTCTGGTGTCCCCCGCCGTGATATTGCTGGAATATTGCTAAAAGCGGCGTAAAAACCATACTCACTCACTCATTCTACATGATCGCTATATATGTTTGGAGTGGTGTGGTAGCCTTGTGAAAGCGTTCACTCAACCCTCCAAACCCCTAGGTTCTGTTTCCCACATAGGTATAATGTGTGAACCCCATTTCTGGGGTTCCCTGCTGGAATATTGCTAAATGTGGCGTCGAACTGTCCTCTAGCTGTCATTCACTGTATTTAATTTAATACAAGATCAAGGTCATTGTAATATTACATATGCCCAGCAAGTTCCATCATTTCATAACTCGCTTGTTATTCAGACAATCAAAACAATGCCTTAGTGTGACCTTTTACTGGAAAGATTATTATCCCGATCAGCTGTTCAGAGATCCTGAGAGAGGGAGAGCCAACTCGTATTTCTCTCCATGAAATGGACTGTCGATTTTATACAGTATTATAAGAAACTGATGAATATCAATTATCATAACAGTTATATGACACTCAAAAGAAAAGAAACTTTCTTTTTCACAATCAGCAAAAAGAATGAAAGCACTAAGTCGCGCAACATGTTATGTTATATCTCTTAAAAAAATTCTCTTTGCCTACTCCTCATCGGCCATGTTTTTTAAAGAAAAGTCCCAATTGTGTTTAGTTTTCCATCCATTCCATGACAACTTTTATTCAAGTTTGAATGTTCATCAATGTCCTTTTGCCTTCTTCTGAGAATGTAGTGACATATATTTCAGACATAGACAGTACATGTTCGGAGTTTGAACATGGCACAGCACTACACATAGCAGCATCCAACCTGGCCCACGAGGCCGTGAAGGTTCTCCTGCACAACGGGGCCGACCCCCGACTCAAAGATGACCTGGGACACATGCCACAAGGTGAGGAGGCAGTGTCCGAAATAACTGCCTGTCCATGGCTGCCCGGGGCTGGTAACTTTTCTGTCGGGCTGCATGAAATTTTGCTCCACCTGCCCGACTGTCTGGCAGATAATTTTAAGACTACTAATATATGCAGTTTTATTTTAACTCGCTGTAGATTCTCAAATTTGCATTATTTCAAGTTAATCAAGGCATAATTTGTCTCTGTTTTTGTGATTTTTCAATAATTATAATGCCTGAATGCAGGCTGGTAACTTAGAAGATGGGCAGGCAACGTTTATGGGTCACCTGCCTGACTGACTTGATGGATTTTATAATCAATTCAAACACTGTCAGGAGGCAATGTTACACAGTCAAACACTGTTGGTGTCGAACTTTGGTGTGTCGAACGAGTGGTTGTCTCGAAGTAAAAGTTGGGTCCCTGCATACTCCTTCTTTATTCATCATTTTCGGTTGTGTTGAACCTCGGGTAACTTGAAGTATCTATGCAGGTCCCTTCAGCTTCAACACAACAGTGTTTGACTTTACTTAACAAACTGGACAAAATGCTGTTGAGATTGTGTTGGATTGCACAGTTATTATATTTCAGTCATTTGGTGTGTTGTATCTCCGCCTTGCGTTATGCTCACTTGTTGACAACCGATATTTGACTCAAATTTAACAAACACTTTGTGTCAATCAAAACGGTCTTTACTACACCATCCCATAGTACAATTGTCGCCTCAACCGCTATCACACTCCTACGTCATCAACTTACCAAGTTTCGAATACTATACACCATCAACTTACCAAGTTTCGAATACTATACGCTATCAAAAAAAACTTACCAAGTTTTGAACACTTACTCTAGAATGAATGATAGCTTGTGACGAATCCATGGACGTCGCCATGTTATGTCATGTGACTACTCTAGCTCCTTACACACAATACCAACTCCATGCACTGCATGCAACTTACCAAATATAACAGGTGCAATAAATATTGTGTGATATTATAATTGTTAGATTGCAGTCTGCTGTTATTCTCAATTATCTGGTGTATTGTATCTTCATCCATTGTATGTCATGGACCCATTTGCACTGAAGCTGGTTCATATGACAAGATGCTAAAACTAGATGTTCAATCAAATTTGACTTGGTTTAAACCAGCTCCGATATCACCAGTACCAGCGTTAGAAATTAGCACTAGTCCTATAGTCCTTGCCAAACTGCCCAATGGTAAAGGTATCATAAGGACTAGTAGAAATGTGCCCTTTTTAGGGGTTTTGCTATATGTTATCATTATAAGGACTAGTGGACGAAAACTGTTGCTTTCTAACCCTAAGTACTCAACTTGACTTTTGTCTAGTAGCCTAAAAACTTCCCTCCCTGTCTCAGTACGCCGCAAAACATATTCTCCAGTTACATATAGCCCTTATAACAGGCTTGTGATTTGTTTAAATACATTGAGGGCACGATTGTATGAAATTGTGGTTTTGAAGGTAGAGCCATGTTGAACTTATGCAGGTGAAAATATTTGCCAAGTTAGTGTTACGAGAGATGGAGCTTCTAAAACAAAGCTATGGTGGCGAATGGGACCAAGGTACTGATGTGACTGAATGGAGAAACAGTACACTTGGTAATCGGGGATGGTGTTTTGTGTGCTTCAGACTGTGTCCCGGATCCCACTGGTTTTAGCCAGGACACGGACATGGCCAAACTAGTCAACAAAATCAAGAAAACACTCCAGGAGGCGGCGCCACCGTCCCCGAAACAGCCGCCTCCCAACTATGACCTGGTCCAGAGTAAGGTCACCCTCCAGGCGCTCGGACTCCGACTGGGGGACAAGGTTCTGGTCGGAGGCTGCAAGGTGGGTACACTCCAGGCAGCAGTAGGGAATTAGTATCTTCACTCGACTCACCTCATCTACTATAGTTGTGAGGACTGTGGTTAGAATAGGTACCCAGCACCCCATGATGCTGGGCGTAAGATTTGGTGATCAGACTTGATTGATTGCATTTGGTGGCACGATGTCCTGTGCACAGCACACAGGTCACAAATCATGTGAAATTAAACAACGTTGGTCGTGGAGAGTGACTTTGTTCGAAATGTGCCTCTGTTCACCCATGAGAGAATGGGTACCCGGTAGGATGAGATGGCAGTGTGGTTTTTAACCTTCATGCGCCGAAAAGGCAGCTTGGGTTGTATACTCCCCAGGGAGATGAGAATGATTGTTGAGTGCACACTGATCCGGTGACCGGGGTAATAATAGCGCTTTGTCCCTGTGTGGTGTGGAAATATGTGCAATATGAAAGGCCTATTACAGTAAAGTACGGTTATAACGAACTCAAAGGGACTACTAATTTTAGTTCGTTATAACCGTAGTTCGTTATAAGCATATATACAGCATAACTACAGCAAATAGTCTGGACCAAAAAAGTAAGTTTGTTATATCTGTCAGTTTGTTATAAGCGTGTTCGTTATAACCGTAGTTTACTGTATTATTATTATTATTATTATTATTATTATTGTTATTATTATTATTATTATTGAAGCGGATTGTTGGTCGTGTTTCAGTCTCTGTTTTGTCAAGTCCAGACTTGATTATTTACAGGCCATTGTGATTAGACGACAAACAGACACTGATGTGTACACGTTATCTGGTTGTAGACGGGCACACTCCAGTACTGCGGGCCAGCAGAGTTTGCCACAGGGGTGTGGGCGGGGATCGAGCTGGATGAACCCGCAGGGAAGAATGATGGCAGTGTTGGAGGCATTTCATACTTCAAGTGTCCACCCAACTATGGTAAGACATGAGTACTTGAAATATTTCATCTTGCCTCTTATTTAGGTCTTAGTTTAGGTCCTTAGTTTATCTGTTAAACTGTAGCTGAGGGGGGCATTGATCTGTATGCCAATTACTAGGGCTGTGCATTGGCAAAATAATTGTTTTGCAATTGATCCTGCTGACATGCAGGAATCTTTGCTCCTGTCTGTTAGATCACCAGGATAATCTGTAGGCCTCCAGATGTAACTGATGCTGCTGTCATTGCAGGAATCTTTGCTCCCGTCAGTAAGATCACCAGGATAATCTGTAGGCCTCCAGATGTAACTGATGCTGCTGACATTGCAGGAATCTTTGCTCCTGTCACTAAGATCACCAGGATAATCTGTAGGCCTCCAGATGTAACTGATGCTGCTGACATTGCAGGAATCTTTGCTCCTGTCACTAAGATCACCAGGATAATCTGTAGGCCTCCAGATGTAACTGATGCTGCTGTCATTGCAGGAATCTTTGCTCCTGCCACTAAGATCACCAGGATAATCTGTAGGCCTCCAGATGTAACTGATGCTGCTGTCATTGCAGGAATCTTTGCTCCTGTCACTAAGATCACCAGGATAATCTGTAGGCCTCCAGATGTAACTGATGCTGCTGACATTGCAGGAATCTTTGCTCCTGTCACTAGGATCACCAGAATAATCTGTAGGCCTCCAGATGTAACTGATGCTGCTGACATTGCAGGAATCTTTGCTCCTGTCACTAAGATCACCAGGATAATCTGTAGGCCTCCAGATGTAACTGATGCTGCTGACATTGCAGGAATCTTTGCTCCTGTCACTAAGATCACCAGGATAATCTGTAGGCCTCCAGATGTAACTGATGCTGCTGACATTGCAGGAATCTTTGCTCCTGTCACTAAGATCACCAGGATAATCTGTAGGCCTCCAGATGTAACTGATGCTGCTGTCATTGCAGGAATCTTTGCTCCTGTCACTAAGATCACCAGGATAATCTGTAGGCCTCCAGATGTAACTGATGCTGCTGTCATTGCAGGAATCTTTGCTCCTGTCACTAAGATCACCAGGATAATCTGTAGGCCTCCAGATGTAACTGATGCTGCTGTCATTGCAGGAATCTTTGCTCCTGTCACTAAGATCACCAGGATAATCTGTAGGCCTCCAGATGTAACTGATGCTGCTGTCATTGCAGGAATCTTTGCTCCCGTCAGTAAGATCACCAGGATAATCTGTAGGCCTCCAGATGTAACTGATGCTGCTGTCATTGCAGGAATCTTTGCTCCTGTCAGTAAGATCACCAGGATAATCTGTAGGCCTCCAGATGTAACTGATGCTGCTGTCATTGCAGGAATCTTTGCTCCTGTCTGTTAGATCACCAGGATAATCTGTAGGCCTCCAGATGTAACTGATGCTGCTGTCATTGCAGGAATCTTTGCTCCTGTCTGTTAGATCACCAGGATAATCTGTAGGCCTCCAGATGTAACTGATGCTGCTGTCATTGCAGGAATCTTTGCTCCCGTCAGTAAGATCACCAGGATAATCTGTAGGCCTCCAGATGTAACTGATGCTGCTGTCATTGCAGGAATCTTTGCTCCTGTCAGTAAGATCACCAGGATAATCTGTAGGCCTCCAGATGTAACTGATGCTGCTGTCATTGCAGGAATCTTTGCTCCCGTCAGTAAGATCACCAGGATAATCTGTAGGCCTCCAGATGTAACTGATGCTGCTGTCATTGCAGGAATCTTTGCTCCCGTCAGTAAGATCACCAGGATAATCTGTAGGCCTCCAGATGTAACTGATGCTGCTGTCATTGCAGGAATCTTTGCTCCTGTCACTAAGATCACCAGGATAATCTGTAGGCCTCCAGATGTAACTGATGCTGCTGTCATTGCAGGAATCTTTGCTCCCGTCAGTAAGATCACCAGGATAATCTGTAGGCCTCCAGATGTAACTGATGCTGCTGTCATTGCAGGAATCTTTGCTCCTGTCAGTAAGATCACCAGGATAATCTGTAGGCCTCCAGATGTAACTGATGCTGCTGTCATTGCAGGAATCTTTGCTCCTGTCAGTAAGATCACCAAGCCTGGCCAAGTGCTGGCTTCACGGGTATCGCCGGGCTCACCAAGCAGATCTCCCCTCAAGCCATCCACGGTCAAGGTCAACCATGTGACAGCAAGGGTCGATACGGGTATGTATTACATGGGATTCATGTTGTGGTGATGAGGTGTGAGTAGATGCAATATTAGCCAAGAGAGTATTTACCTCCACCGTGCCACTCCTGGGTAGGTCTTGTGGATCCCCAGTCTGTTCTTCAATCAAACCACCTCTGAATACCTGGAGGGGTGGTGAGGTAGCCTAATGGTTAAAGTGTTCGCGCATCACATCAAAAACGCATTCTATGGTGTTCCTGCCTTAATATTGCTGGAATATTGCTAGATGCTTCATAAAACCATGCTCACTAACTCACTGAATGCCAGTGACTTTTAAATTGGGCTAGTAACATTTGCATAAAGGTGGCCCGACTGTCTAGTGAATAAAATTTCTGTGAATCGACAAGTCAGTTAAGGCATCATTTGATGTCAAGATGGTTGCCATTTTGTTTTTAGTTTGTAGTTTATCGGAAACCAACTTGAAGTAGTAAGCTGAGTTTGTGCTGCACACTGTTTATGACTGGTGTACATGTATATGCATTATTAGCGATGTGTGTGAAAGTCTAAGAATCACCAAAAATGTCATACATCACATATAATCAACTCTACTGCAGTGAATAATGCACATTTTGTTCACCTAAAACAACATTTTAAGGAAAATTATTTTCATGATTGCTTATTACTGGCTTAAAAATACCAAACAGATGGACCCAAGGGATTAAGACTGTATTGAATACCCAAAGAAACTATCAAAATCCATTGAATAATTTCATTTTTAATGGTTTATAAAACTATCTGGAGCCCTGTCTAGTACGGTGGGCAAGTGGTGTTGTGTTCCTGAGGAGAATGGTGTGTTAGTGTCCTCCCAACAAGCAGTGCCAGAGTCTCCTTGGCCAGGAGTTGAGGAAACACCAGTCTGAGAGGGAGATAGAGTGGCTGGCAATACACACCAGCATGTCTTCCAAGAGGCACTTGAAGTGTTATAAATGATCTGAATTTGAGTAGAATATCCTGTTGTTGAATCAGGTATCTAATAATAGTGTTTCTGCAATTCACACATTTCCTTGGGAATTTGTGAACCTGCTGGCTTTTGAAACTGCCAGTCCAAGTGGACTGTCAACTTAACGGACTTAACGTTACCAGTCCCCTCTACTTTTTGTCAGTCCTAACTTTGAACAAATAAGAAAATGTATGAAAACTACCTGCTTTTAATTCTTTCAACATCAACATTTCACTTTGGTTCGAGACTAAGTCTCTAAAAATATATAATTAACCTCAAAGCAAAGCAAAATATTATTTCCTTGAACTAAAAATAGACAACGGGAAACCCATGTGATAAAAGACAAGTTGACTCCATTAAAAAAATAGTGATTATCCCTGATCTTTTGTTCGACCACAAAGATTTATAAGGTACTTTATGTGCCGGTCTATATGATGTGACTGACAGTCACATGAATTATCGGTCCAAGCCTAATTTTACCGATACATAACTGGTAATTGCCGGTAAACGGGAACACTGACCTACATGCTCCCAAACTACAGTGCTTTTGTGATGGTTAGATGGGGTTAGCACATGATACCCAGTCTACTAGTTCAAAACCTGTGTCTAGTAAAATGTTGTCCAGTCTGGTAAGATCAGCTAACTATGGCAAGTATAACACTAGAATGTACTAAAATGATGCTGAGCTTAAAGTTCAGGCGAGTGGACTCCAGGAAGCACTGGTTTCCAGTTTATGTCTGCCGCAACTGACTGTTTCTGTCGGTCTGTCCATTCAATCAAACATTAGCAGGAAAAATATACATGAAATATTTATATATTCCATAGTCATGGCAATTTATTTATAATATTTATATTGTTGATTCACTTAGTGTCATTGAGCCAAACTTCTTGACTAAAGTTTTGAATGGCATTTAGAAGTGATACACATAAGGAAGAGAATTTACGGATGTCAATTCTTTATTATGAGGAACACACATAATTCCTCATAATAAAGAAGTAAACGTCCATAAATTTTCTTCCTTAAAGTCTATCTGTTTTGATTGTGTTTCTGAACTATTAATTTCTAAATTCTTACTAAAGGGTTGTGGGAAATAAATTAATGCTGATGGAAGGGACTGTTTTCTTGTTGCTATGACGACTCATCTACAGCGTACCCTTTGTCATTCTGAATCTTCAACCCGAATAGAAATGGTGGTTGAATACTGCACCCCTTCGAAGTATTATCATCGCACAACGTATTGTCAGCCAACATTCGTGTGTCTGACAGAATCATGGGACAAATTCAGGTATGGCTGACAGCATCCTTGAAGAGTTCCGAGGTGGGTGGTAGAATCTTTGAGGAGTTCAGGTATGAGGATCATTGACAAGCTCGGGTTGGTTGACAGTTCTAAGCATTGAACATTCCAGGTGTGACTGACAGAATCATTGAAAACTCTGGTGTTGATTTATTTACATGACATGCACTTACAAACTTTCTTGCCCATTTCTCACATATTGATATGGTTCTCTTCTTGTGACATTGTTGTGAATAATCAATGTTATTATCACACCAATACAATGGCAGCCTATTGGAGCAGGTGTGTGACAGTTCCACTGTCATAAATGGCCGAAGCTGTTACAACTTACATGTCACGTTGTGGGATCCATTGTCACCTGCTGTCAGCATCCACACTCAGTAGGTCAGGGACACTACTCAACCAGCTCTCCTTTATTGGAAAACTCTTTCTGGGTTTTTCACAGCCTTAGTGTTTCAAATTTCCAATGCAGAGTTGCCTCCCTTAGACATGCCTTGGTGTATGATGACAACACCCTTGGCCAAGTCTGACAATGGAGCCACCAGGGCGCCGTTCCACAAAGCGGTCTTAGTGCCAAGGTGATAGTTATAGTAACTCCCATACTTTAACAATTACGATTATCGTCGTATAAGATTGCTTTGTGGAACTGCGCCTTGATGCTAATGTTAGATGCTGTATCCATACAAATAGGTACTAGGGAACCATTCCCTCCTAGTATCATCTAGGGCTGGGACGAGTCCCTTATTACCCGACCCTACCCGGGTACCCACTGTAGGTCTCAAGAGATAGATACAAGATGTCCAATTGGGAATTTTTTTACCATTTTACCATAGCCCTGGCAAAATGTATTTAGATACATGTATTAAACGATATTGTCATGCATACACTGAAGTTGACTGAAGTATTATCCTTATTCAGCCATATGAAAAGTCAGAAGGAATGGTGCATAGTCAGAAAGAAATGTGAAAATTAGTGACTTGTAGTGTAACTATACAGTTATGGATAATGTTTGTCAATAAACAATATATCACGTGACTAACCACAGGTCTGGGTAGTTCTGTGGGTATACGGGTCCTACTCAGTACCCACCCGACCCGGGTACCCGAGTTACCCATCCAAGCCCTAGTATCATCCAAGGGGTTTGCCTTGCCTTTCCAGTAACACTGGTAGAAGATTATTATGCAATGCAATTGTGGTATATTGCTTTGACAGTTACTGTATTTTTTTTAGTATAGTGCACACTTTTTCCCCAAAAAACACAGCTGCGTAGAAGGGGATGCGCAATATACACACCATAATGAGTTTTGATGTCCCCCCCCCCCCAATGCAAATATATTACCATGAGCATGTAACACTAGTATTAAATACCATGTCAACATATCCGTACTTAAGTACGCAAATTAATCATGTAATTACACTGTCTGGTTATAAAAAGTGTAAGTTATGTTTGTAACTTATTTCATTAATTTTATTCAAAATTCCTTTTAATATTGTTTTAATTAATTTTGGTGAAATTGTGACAACTCACCATTATTAACAGCAACCACGATCAGATTACCCCGCTATTGACGCCTTGAAACAAACTTTAGTTGACAGGGAATGTACTTGTCAGGGTGGGGCATGGGTGGCCCTGTCGTCTAAGGTGCAGCAATTGGCTGTGCAGAGTTGTGTCCCTTGGGTGCACCAGAAACCTATGATGGGTACAAATCCCAGTTCACCTGATTATGTTTCAAGGTTTGTCAGCACCATACCCGTGTGTGTGGGTTTCACCAAAGGGAGAAACGGCTAAGACCTGCATCACTTCTGAGAACTAGTGATAGAAATATGACTGTGCTCAGAGAATACTTGACTTGACTTGTTTCTTTTTAGAAGAACATCCTGGTTTAAGGTTAACTTAATTAATATAACATGGTTCACATGGTTCTTGTATATGAGACCCTTGAAGATCCAGGTCAGAATGTGGTCTTCAGCAACTTATGCTTGCCATAAAAGGTGACTATGCTTATCGTAAGAGGCAACGAACAGGATCGTGTGGACAGGCTCGCTGACTTCGTTGATGCATGTAATCTTATCCCTATTGTGTAGATTGATGCTCATGATGTCGATCACTAGATTGTCTGGTCCAGACTTGATTATTTCCAGACCGCTGTCATATAGCTGGAACTTGTATGACAGCCAGTTCATATTCATCTACAAACATGCAGCCAAGTATTATGTCACAAATGCATAATTATAACATGTGGTTTGATCAACATTTGCCATATATATACATATCTTAAGCATATGTGCAGGTTTTGGAAGGTCCTATTGTGGGGATTAAGTGCCATAATAGACACCCCAGAACCTGTTCTTGAGGAAAGACACCTCATGCCATCTTCCTCAGCCTGCAGTCCAAGGATTCTCCTCTTGTGGAATGTTACATCCTTTATTTATTTTTAATGTTTGAGTTATCAGTATGAAAATGATTTGATAAAATTATTCATAAATATCCACTCCACAAACCCACTAATATCTACAGAAATGTCACACCTATATTTACACACGATAAAAATGGAACAATGAGATAACATTGTTATCATGATGCTGATGTAGTGGGCTATATGAGCTACAGCATATCAGCAAAGAATCCACAGGGGGCTGGGAGGTGGGGTAGCCTAGTGGACAAAGCAGTCGCTCAGCTTGTGGAAGAACTTGGTTCGAGGGGCGGTCAGGTAGCCTCGTGGTTAAAGCGTTCGCTCGTCAC